ATTCCAGCTCCTGACTCTGTCCTCGGTGAGCCCTGGTTTTCCCAGCCACAGAGCCACAGAACCGCAGAGCCGCAGGGCCGCAGGAAGCAGTGTTGGAGGCAGATCTCCCTTTCTTTGCCAATGATACTCTCCAGGTGGGAGGGCAGCAGCTGCATTTCTGACCAATTTTTCTTAAAACCCTTGAGCTTCCAGTGGCATAAGCTGAGTCTGCTTCCTCCTGGGCTGAAAGAGTACAATCAGGAAGACTGTATTTTTTCCCCTCCAGCTTCACAGGTTAGTATAGCCTCATCCCCAAAACTAACATGATTTGAGTTGTCCTGACTTGAAAGTACCAAATTACTCAGGGAGTAACTGCAAAGTGTAAACCAAATGCCCAGTGAATTACAGGAGAACCAGCACCATCTCTCAAAAGTGGCCGCCAATTTGCTCCCTAAGGTCGTCAGAGTATGGGATTGAGCTATAGGGAGGCTTGTAGTGGCTGTCACCTGCTGTGACTTATCAGAATAATACACAATTGCTGTTGAAATCCAACTGCGTTAAGTTGGCTCTGCTGCTGAAGCTTTGCCCGAGTATCAACACTGATAACACAAACAGCGGCTTTCCGATCTTTGCCTCGAGGACACTGCTAAGACATGTGGATAGGCTCACTCAGAAATACACAACAAGCCTGAGCTTGAGTCACAGTGACCCCCTGTACCTCTAGTCAAAGCTTCTGTTCTCAAGCGAGTGAGAGGCAATTGCAGCATGTGCTGACAGGTAGTTAGAGCTGTCTCCTTGCTTGGAGCATTGTGATTCAAGATGCTAACTGAAGCTGTTGGGATATAACCTTACGGTTGTGTTCTTGGCCAGGTTCCCCAAAGACATCTTCCTGTCAGCACAGAATAGAGACCCTGCAAGGAGAATGTTACTTCCCAAAGGCTAGGTAGGGGTGCAGAGCCCACCAGCAGGATGGGGAGATGCAGTAGCACTGAACACTTAAAGCCAGCGTTCATGGAAGTCCTCAGCAGGCACTGGTGAAACTGCACAGGCGGCATCAGTGGCTCACCTCGTCTGTTGGGGAGTTGAAAAGGATAAAGCCGCTGACTGCAGAGAAGACTATAGGACCAGGAAATCAACCTGTCTTAATTTGGTGGCAGGAACAAAGCAAATGAGATCAGATATTCTAGTAGTGGATCCTGGAGTTTAGGCATTCTTACCAGAAAAGGCCCCCCATCAGCTTCCTCCGGGCTCCATGTCCATGTGAATAGAGAGAGAATGATTTTGCCAGGAGTTTTTGGGAGAGCAGAAGCAATCATATAAAGCGGTGTCTGGATAAGGGATTCATCTGCATGTGGGAAATTGAATCTCAGAATCCTAAGAATTATCTCTGGATGGGCTGTAAATGACATGTGACCGCTACCAGTCTCCAGCCAGCGAGGCTGCATGCCACACAATTTACTGCTGCTGCGTTTGGAACAGCCAGCTCTGCTCCCCATGTGTGTGTGTATTATCAAGTTTCTGGAATCCTTGATGTGATTTTAAAATGATTTCATTTTTGTTGATTTGCTATTACTTAGCTGTTTTCAAGAGAATTGTAGAGCTGCCTATTAAGATCGGCTACCCTCTAAGCTGAGGAATGCTATCTGCAGAAACAGAGGACTTTCCAAACCGTTTTAGTGGTCCCTATGGAGAGGTGCTCTCAAGGTACATCAAGGCCGGGCAAGCCAGGGCTGCTGGCCGGTGCTGTGACTTGGGGTTAGTGAGATGATCTGCCGGCCCACTCTGGCTGGTATAACAGTCCCGTTAGCTGCTGTTGGCTCTGCTGGGTGTTACTTTCCCTTATGTTCCCTCCCCTTCCCCTGGGGTCCAAACAGTCGAAGCAGACACACAAGCATTCCTCCTGAGCCAGTGGAGCCAGGAAGAATTTCATGTACTGCCCATACCAAGCATTCCCAAGATAAAGGATTTCTGATTGACAATATTGAGACATATGTCTGAAATCTCAGAGCAGGGAGGGTTTCTTAATAGCCATTGCAACTTAGGCTGTGAGACTCTCGTGTTCAAGCACCTCACAATGGGTGTGCCTCAAGAACAGGTCTGGGTGTGTAAACAAGTGCAGATCCACTTTTGCAACCAACCATAAACACAGCATCTTTGGGGACTACATCCTTTAACCTGGTTATGGGAAAAAAAAACCCCAGAAATAGGTAAGAAGCTGCACCACCCTCCCTGAATAGGGTCCCTGCAGCGGGTATTCTGTTTGTCATGTCAGAAACCACCATAGCTAGGAACACAGGAAAAAGAAAGGTGTCTCCTCCCTTCCAGAAGCTTGAGGGAGAGACACTTGCCATACACCCAAGTCCAGGACACCAACCGACATGCCCTTCACTCCTGATGAATTGGCAGATTACCCTCTCAATTGCAGTCCGGACCCAACCTCGTGCGCCCTCAGTGTGCACGTCAGATGGGCTAGCCAGTTTTACTAACCCTAATTCTACACACGTGCACACACACACAGTCTGCTTTTTTCTTTTCTTTTCTTTCTTACTCTCTCTCTCTCTCTCATGGAATAACTCAATACACAGTGTTATTGTAGTAAATATCAGGGCTGTGACTCTTATTCAGGTGGTTGGGACTCAAACTGCATTTAAACAGGCTGAAACTCACGTGTTTGAAAAAACTTAGGAATTAGGCAGGAAGGTACTTGTTTTTAATCCCTTAAAGCAACGTTGTGAGCCTTTCCTTTGAATGTGCTTGTGGGAAGGAAGGAGCAAGAAGAAATGTTTAGATGCTATTTTTCATAGGATCCAGGAATGCCACTGATTATATAATACAGTCTGAGTTCAGATGTTAAAATGTGGGGAGAAAAAAAAAATGACACATCTTAGAATCCTGGAATCAGGCATTCTATGTGGCAGCTGGGTGTAATGGTTATGAGCACTTAGGGTAGAATCTGACAGACTCAACCCAACCATTCATTACCTCTGTGGCCTTCAGTAGATTGCTGAGCCTCTATAAAATTGAATTTCCTCACCTCTGATATGACCAGAACTGCTAAGGCTACCTTGTGAATAGTACTGATCCAAGCAGCGTGACAGCTTAATTCTCCATCCAGTAAAATGAAAACCCACAGCCTCAACACTTTCATATTCCCTTCAGTAGTTCAAACCCCCTCTGGAGAACAATAGTGCTGTAAAGGGTTTAGACCTCACATTTTGTCCTGTTAAGCCTTGACCTTATTATTTCAAGAGACTGTGTCATGCATTCATTATATTAAAAAAATAAATGTACACATATATACTTTTCTAAATTATTATTTTGATCATGAAAAAGTAAATCCAAATCACTGTTTAAAGTGTGCATCTGTTTACTGATGGGCCTCGAGAAATCTTGATAAAGTCAGTGGCCCCCGAGAGCATGAAAGGAGCCCGAGGTGCTGCAAAGACCAGTGTCCAGCATGTGAGAGCTCGCCGACTGCTCTAGAATCCTGGGTTTGCCCCATGAAGGTGGCTCTTCTGCTCATTGGCTAATGGTGGAGCCCAGAATCGTGATTCAGTAAATCTGATGGCTCTAGAAATAGCTGCTTCTTTAACTTCAGACTACCTCCTTTAGGTGGGCAGGGTGGAAGAACTGAGCTGAGAGAAAGCCAGAGCTGGCAGTAGCTGGCTTTCAATGGATAGAAAACCAGTGAGGCTGCAGCACAGAAATATGATGTCTAATCCCCAGTACCTAGTCTAATCCCCAGGCAAGTACTTAAGCAGACAGTCCTCATCCCCAAGCAGAGTTTAGTTTAGGTATGAGCCTTCATGTCTTTTAAATATGTTTTGGGACGTCAGGTGTTGTGGCATAACAGGTGAAGTTTCAATAGGGTAAACCGCCTCATGCGTAGCTGGCATCCCATTCTGAAATGCCTGGGATCAAGTACCACCTTCACTTCCCATGTAGTTCCTGATAATATGGCTGGGAGGCAGCAGATAACAGCATAAGTGTTCAGGTTCCTGTCCCTTACGTGGGAGGCAGGAATGGAGTTCTGTACTCCTGTCGTCAATCTGGCTCAGCCCCAATTATTGAGGGCATTTGGGGAGCAAGCCAGTGGATGGAAGATTCATTCATATCTTTCTCTTACCATTCAGATAGATAGATAATTTTTTAAAAAGCAGCGTTTTGTTGCTGGTACTGATGGTGTACCATAGCAAATAAAATTATGTATTTCATGAAACGTTAACCAAGGAAGTGTATATACTTTGCAGTTTTAGCACAGCACTCTGCCTGAGGAAGGTGGGACAAAAGGAAAGTCCTGGGCCTGGCGTGGTAGACTGGAGGCTAAAGTCCTCGCCTTGAACGCGCTGGGATCCCATTTGGGCACCAGTTCTAATCCCGGCAGCTCTACTTCCCATCCAGCTCCCTGCTTGTGGCCTGGGAAAGCAGTTGAGGATGGCCTAGGGCCTTGGAACCCTGCACCCACTTGGGAGACTGGGAGGAAGCTCCTGGCTCCTAACTTTGGATCAACTCAGCTCTAGCTATTGCTGTCACTTGGGGAGTGAATAAGGGATGGAAGATCTTCCTGTCTCCTTCTCTCTGTATATCTGACTTTGTAATACAAAAAATACATATATAAAAGAAGGAAAGGCCTTTGGCTTATTCCTGAATATCTCAGCAACCCTTGGGTTCTTCTCATACCAGGCAGGAGGTTGCTGCAGGGAAATGCTAGAAGGCAACCTGCCCTAGAGGAATTCCGCTAAACGTAATTGATGGCAAAGGCAGGGAGTAGGGGAGAAAAGACGGGCTCTCCAGTTCTCCTCCTCCTCGGTCAGTTCTGGATGGGAAGTTCATAAGCTCCAAGGATGTTCTTAGAGTGTGAAAAAAAACTAGATGATGGGATGGAAGGAGCTGCCTACTGCTTATCTTACAAATCCATTGTGTTATTCATGTTAGTTCGAAAATACTGTTCATCAGGAACTTGCAGAAGCAAAAAGTCTCCAGCCCAGCTGAATTTTCCCTTCACCTTTCTTATTTTCCAGGTGACCTTGTACAAGGACTCTGACATGGAGGACTTCGGGTTCAGTGTAGCAGACAGCTTGCTGGAGAAAGGAGTATATGTTAAGAATATTCGCCCAGCTGGGCCAGGCGATCTTGGTGGCTTAAAGCCCTATGACAGGCTCTTACAGGTAAGACCTCAGGTGGAATCTTACTTCCCTGTAGCTCACTTCCAACAGGGAATTTCTTACACAGCTTTCTGTATGCTTGGGATCCTCTGCTCTTTTTCTGCCTCAAATATTTGCACAGGACTTTGGAAATGGCAATAATGAACAGTTGAGTACAAAAGTTCTGCTGTGTCAGTTCTTAGATTCTTATTTTTTTTGGCACTGAATTCAAGACCATATTTCCCAGTTTAATGCGTATTCCTCAGTTCCTGCCCAGCCGAGTCTCCCTGTGCATGTGGTAATCACATCAGCCGTGCGAAGTTACCCTGCTCTAAGCCTCCAGTCTAGTCCTTCCTCTGTTCTTCAGCTAGACACACAAGCCCTTTATGATTTGGTTTCTCCTTCCCCTTCAACACACAGATCACATCACCTCTGGCTTTGGTTACTCTAGCTACATCTGGTCTCGTTTCAGGAATGGTGTATTCTGCCACCTGTTGGCTTTCCAAAGACCTGATTTCCTAGGTAGGAGTCACTGCTGTTCCTTAACACACCAAGTACCTGTGTATTCTCCATTACCTGCACTAAGCAGATTCACTCTCCTGCTTCAGGTACCTGCTCACAGGCCTGCCAAAACATTCAAAATAATGTCCCCCCCACACGCACACTCCTATATTATCACAGTAGTATAGTCATTTAGTAACATGGCAGATTAGGTACAGGCAAGAGTAGAAAATCCAGTATCTTACTGTCAGGGCATATCATTAACAGCTTCCTTGGGGAGAGTCCTTTGATTTGGAAGTTGAGATGTGAACTGCAGTATGCTAGTCTCCATTATATAGTTCATCTGTAAGAATATATGTATATACAAGTTTACCTATGTATCTATTGCTCTTATATTTTGCGTGAAGGTTGTCTTATGTAAGAGAACCTATGATATTTGTTCTTTTGGGATAAGCTTATTTCACTGAGCGAAATAGCTTCTGGTTGGGACCATCTCATTGCAAATGGTAGAATTTCATTCTCTTTAAAGGCTGAGTAGTGTTCAATGGACTAAATGTACCACCATTTATCCATGCCTCTTTTGATAGGCATCTGGGTTGCTTCCATGTCTTTACTATTGTTGATTGTGCTGCTGTAAAAACAGGCTCACAGGTCACTTTCTCATATGCAGATTTCACTTCATTTGGATATACTGGGAGTGTGATAACTGGGTCATAGGTGTATCAATTTTCAGTTGGCTGAGCACTCTTCACACCGACTTCCATGGGGGCTGCACTAGCATACACTCCCACCAACAGTGGAATAGGGTTCCCTTTCCCCCACATCCACACCAGCTGGTGTTATTAGTTGCTTTCTCTATGTAGGTCCATCTCACTGGAGTTAGGTGGAATTTCAATGTGGTTTTCGTTTGTATTTCTGACAGGGAGCGTGAGCATTTTTTCATGTGTGTATTAGCCATCCGAATTTGTGGGTTTTTTTTAAACCTGCTCATTTCCTTTGCCTATTGCTTCACAGAGTTGTTTGTTTTGATGTTGCTGTATTTCTGAAGCTCTTTGTAAATCCTGGATATTAGTCCCCTGTGTGTTGTTCTCCTGTTTTGTTGGTTGCCTCTTTGTCTATTGATCATTTCCCATCATGGGTGGATGGGGGTAAGACAGGGAAGATCATAGGTAAGTAAGGAGACGGGTGGACAGGTATGGGTCACACGCCATACCTAATGTTTGTTGCCTGATTCAGACCTAGTGAATCATTAATGCCTTCCACACGTCTTGCCAGAGTAGCCTGCATGGTAGCTGGCAGCTTGGATCTGTTGTGGAGATAAGATGTTAGCAATATATCTAAAGATTCAGGATAGTGAAGGCATGGGTTTGGTTAAAGTTACCTACATTCCGAAAAAGAAGAAACCAAAGGCTAGAATCCTAACATTAAAATTTGAAGGAAGCAAAACAAGAAAGAACTGATAGCAATCAATTTAAATGACTAGAGGATCAAATCAAAGCAATATCCCAGGAACCAAGTGCTTTGAGAGCTACCAGCCTCAATGAGATTCCAGCACCAGCTGGCAGGCACGCACCCCTCAGATAATTAAGGGGAACTGACATGGCTGTTCACAGTGACTCATTCAGATACTTGCTTTCCCTGGAGGATGGCTGAAAGTCAGTTGTCTGATCTCAGCCAGTGGGTCCCTCATATAAGAAGCGTGATTGTTTTGGCAGATGAGTTGATGGCTCTGTTAGGCATCATCCAGTTGATGCCTGCGTGACTGTCACTCTGAGCTGGCAGCCAGTTCTTGTGTTCTCCCTGGTGTTCAGAGCAAACAGGCCCTGCGGTGGCCCGTGCTTCAGCAGATGGAAAATGCGTATTCAGTATACCACCACAACACACACACATGCACAAATTGTTTAAATAAGTATAAGAGAAACAAAAGTAACAGAAAGAGAATGAATATGGAGTCTTAAGTTCAAGGGCAAATGTCTGAATGGTCCCTTTAAAAGAAGTAGCAGGAAAAGCAAGGAGTACCGTCCACCAGACAGCCTCTCCAAAATATGTGTGACCCTTCCAGCTGCACCAAGGAAGGAGAGTCTTAAAAATAGATAGGTACACACAGCAGCAAATGCTAGAGGCCAGGGAGGATGAGAGCAAGAGACTGCTGCTTCCCAAAGTTGACAATCAAGGTCACTTGCCAACAGTGCAATGTAAGTGTCATGCCTGGGTGTCAAAGATGGAGGAAGGAATGGGAAGAAAGAATGGAAGTGGTTTGTAGATGATTTTAAAAACTTGTTGCTGAAGACAGAAATGGGGAAAGATGACATGTGTGCCTATAAGCAGAAGAGGAGATGGGCTCACTAGGGAGAGAGCTAGTTGAGCACCTGGGCTCCTGGGTCAGCCATACAGCCTGAGAGCACATCCTAACCTGACCCTTACCAACTTCAGTCAAAAGCAAAGCACCGAACACTCTGCCCAGTTTTTACCTCCTGAGATCCATGGAAAACACTTAGCATTGGAGCATCCAGCATCTGGCTGGGGATAAGATTGGGATGAGTTACCTATTTTATATTTTAATTTTTAGGGTTTTGTTTTTGACAGATTCAAAGCGATTTGTAGATGCAATTCTAAGAAAATACTAATATTTTCTTCCTCCCCCCTCTTCCCTCCCAGACTCCTTCCCCTCTTCGTTTTTAGTTTCTGTAATACCATTTTAAATTTTCACAACAGTAAAAGGGGTTAATATTTTATCCAATAAGAAATTTAATAAGTAAAAATCAAAAAAACATTAGCTTAGTGGGAATGCAGACAATAGCTATCAATAACAATTGAAAAAAAGATTTCATTCACAGAGTTTTTGTAATCACAGATCATTAAAACTATAGTAGTATAAAATTAATAACCACTGATTTGACAAAGTTGTATAAATTGCATTTGCAGCAACCAATTCACACAGGTGTGTATTTTTACTTTTTAGATTTTCACTAGACCACGTATATAGGAGAAAACACGCAATATTGTCTTCCTGTGTCTGTCTTATTTAACCCAACATGATTTCCTCTAATTGAGTCCATTTGGCTATAAGCATAATTTTATTTTTTTATAGCTGAGTATCATTCCATTTTTTACATATGTATATATTTTTTCCTTTATCCATTCATCTAGTGATACCTTGATTGATTACAAATTTTGGCTGTTCTGAATAGTGCTGCTATAAACAGGATCATTCAGGTATCTGATTCATTCCATCCATGTCTTTAGAATACATTCCAATAGAGAGATTGCTGGATCATATGGCCAGTCTGTTCCATTCATGTAAGTATCAGTTTTTATGCTGGTACCCTGATGATTAATTGCTATAACTTTGTACTACAGTTTGAAGTTAGGTATTGGGGTTGCTTCGGGTATTGTGGGTCTTTTGTGATTCCATATGAATTTTAAGATTGCTTTTTCTCATTTTGTAAAGAATGTTATTGGAATTTTGATAGGGATTGTATTGAATCTGTAGATTGCTTTCAGCAGTATAGATTTTATAATGATGTTGATTCATCCAATCCATTAGCAAAAATATTTTTGTTTTGTGTCTTTGATGATTTTTTCAATGCTTGATAACTTTCACTATAGAGATTTTTCACTTTAAATTTACTTCTATATATTGGATTTTTTTTTACTATTGTGAATGAGATTTATTTATTCTTTGAGTTCATCATTAGTACACAAAAAAGCTAGTGCTTTTTTGTATGTTTATTTTGTAATGTGCAATGTCACTAAATTATTTCATCAATTCTTAATGCTTTTATAACGGAGTGTTTAGGTTTTCCAGGTACAATATCGTGTCATCTGCCAGCATGCATAATTTTACTTCCTCTGTTCCAATTCTGATGCACTTTCTCCTGCCTCACTGCCCCTGCTAAAACTTCTAGTGCTATACTGAATAAATGACAGAAGCAGACATCCTTATCTTGTTCTAAATTTGAAAGGAAATTTTCCATTTTCCATATTCAGCATGATTTTTGATATAGGTTTCTGATATAATCTTTGTAATTTTGAGGAATGTTTCTTTATAGCTAATTGGTGGAGGGTGTTTATTATGAAGGGGTATGGAATCGTATCAGATACTTTCCCTGCACCTGTTGAGATGATCGTATGGTTTTTGTTCTTCATTCTGTTGATATGATGTATGTTTCTTGATTTGTGAATGTTGAATCCACCCTTGCATTTCTGTGATAGATCCCATTTGATCATGATATACAGTCTTTTTTTTTTTTTCGTCAGAATACACAGTATTTTATTTTAAACTGGTTACATGGCTTCCTCAAAAGCATTAAGGTAGCTGAAAACACTTAAGAATTTAATGCCTGAATGTAATCCGAACTAGCAACAGCTGAGTTTAACAAAGGACATGAACAAGTGACCCTAACACTCTGGTTTACAAAATAAAAGGGTGAAAAAGAAAAAGACAAAAAAAGTCACACAAAAGCATCAAGAAATACATTACACATTTAGATCATTTAGATAAAAAACAAAAACACAGAAAAAAAGTTTATAAATGTAAAAGTTAGTCCGAGTCTCAAAAGGCAGCTTTAATTTCAAAACCATGTTAGGAATCAGTCATTACTGCTTGTACAGAGGAAAATAAATCCACAGAACTTGCTCGGAATCCTGAGCAGCATTCCACCGCTTCCCAGAAAGTACAACTCCTTTAGAAAAAAACAAAACCCTACAGTCTTTTTTTATGTGGTTTTTATTTCAGTCGCTGGTATCTTGCTGAGAATCTTTGCATCTATATTCATTAGGGATTTAAGTTTGAAGTTTTTTGGTATCGTGTCTTTGTTTGCTTTTGGTATCAAAGTCATGAGTTTCTGAGTCCATGCTGCTCAGTGATTTGGAATAGTTTGAATTACTTCCTTTCTGAATGCTTTGTAGAGTTCAGTAGTAAAGTCATCACATCAAGTTCCATTTCCTTGATGGAAGACTTTGCTTACTACTTTAATCTTATTGCTCACTGTAGGTCGGTGTAGGTTGTCTATATATCCTTGATTTAATCTAAGTTATATTAGTCTGAGCATTCATCACTTTCCTGAGGATTTCCGCCTTATTAGCATACAGTTCTTCCTGGTACTTTAAGATCCTCTGTATTTCAGTGGTGTCACACTGTCATATTTTCCTTGTTAGTCTCACTAGAGATTTATCTACTTTTTTCTCAAAAGAAATCGTTTTTGTTGATCTTTTGCATTTTTTTCTATTCTATTTCTATTCTCATTCTAGTTGTTTCTCGCCTCCTGAAGATTTGGGGTTTGGTTTGTTCTTGCTTTTCTAGGTCTTCAACATGCATCACTGCATCTGTAATTTGAGAATTTCTCTTCTTTAATGTAACCACTGACTGCCATAAACTTCACTCATACAGTGCTTGTACTGTATCCCCCAGTTGCTCACATGATATATTTTCATTTATTTCAAAAGTTTACCACATCAGGGAACTGTTGATTATTCAGTAGCATGTTGCTGAATTTTCAAGTATTGGTGGTTGATTGTTCTTGATTTCTGAGTTTCTTGCTATTACACTGCTATGTTTTCGGTATTTTAAATTTGCTGAGACTTGATTTGTGGCCTACTGTTAGGCGGCTCCCTGTGCTTGTGAGAAAGCATTTCCGCAGCTGTTGCACAGACCGTCCTGTGAATGTCTGTTAGATCTATTTGCTTGAGACAAGGTTTCAACCCCAATGTGCTTTACTGATTTTCTGTGTGGATGCTCTGTCCATTACTGAGTGGTGTTGGAGTCGCTCTGTCTGTAGGTCCAATGGTGTAGTCTGTATATATATTTGGTTGGTCATATATGATGGTTAATGTCTTCTTGCTGAATTGAACCTTTTATCAAAACCTAGTGTTCATTTTATACTAAACCAGAATAGTTACATCAGCTTGAGTTGTAATTCAATCCCTCACTTTGTGTGCATCTTTGTGAAGGGAGCCTCTTATGGCGGCATATAATGGTGTCATGGTTTTTAATCAACTCAGCCAACCTCTTTTAGTTGAACTTAAGCCATTTACACTTAAAGTTAGCACTGACACAAACCAACCATCATTTTAGTGACTGGATAATGATTCTACCTGCTGCACTGGTGACATACATTTTATGTTTACCTCTAATGCAGGCCATCCTTCAAATTTCTTCAAGGTATGGTGGTGCTAAGTCCTCGATATTGTTTATCTGGAAAACAATTTCTCTTTCACTTTTTTAAAAGATTTTATTTTTATTAGAAAATCAGATATACAGAGAGGAGAGACAAAGATATTCCATCTTTTAATTCACTTCCCAAGTGGCCTCAATGGTTGGAGCTGTGCCAGTCTGAAGCCAGAACCCTGGAACCTCTTCCTGGTCTCCCATGTAGGTAGAGGGTCCCAGGCACTTTGGGCCAACCTCAACTGCTATCCCGGGCCACAAGCAGGGAGCTGGATGGAAAGTGGGACCACTGGCGTTAGAACCGACACCCATATGGGATCCCCACACATGTGAGGACTTTAGCTGCTAGGCTACTGCGCTGGGCCCGCTTACATTTTAAAAGGTAACTTCATTGAATATAATATTCTGTATTGAGAGGATTCGTTAAGATCATGAACATATCATCCCACTCTCTTCTGGTCTGAGGTTGCTGCTGAGAGTTCTGATGTTAATCATCATATGTAACCTGACACTTTTCTCTCGCTGGATGTGGTGTAGTGGATCCTCTTTTGCCACCTCCTCTCCTACCAGGTGACGGATACCCGAGATTAGCCACCCACACCAGCCCACGCACCGCTCGGTCGACCTGTGCGGTCACTGAGTTCCCACAGTCCCAGGATGCTGAACCTTCCCTCGGCCACAGGAGCCTTCTCCAGCAGCAGCTACCTCTGGGTGCTCTGCCTTGCTAGCTCAAGGCAGGCTAGTGAGAGGCAGACTTATCCTTTTGTCTGCTACTCACGTGCGTCTGCGCAGAATCAGGCCTACACCATAGCTGCCACAGCTGCAGGGCCAGCCCCCCTAAAAATGCTGGCTACTTGCCGAGGTTTAAGTGCCCTGAAGAATGGGGGAAAGAGTGGGTTTCTTCCCCATGGCAGCGCCCCAGATCTTTCCCTTGCTCTGGCTTCTGTGTGTACCTGCAGTCAGTGTAGGGGTTGAGATTCTATACTCGGCGATGGTTCAGGTTACCGTAACGGGTCTTCTGCACGACTCGCAGCACCTGTTACTTGAAGTGCTGGGCAGCTGCAGCTCACGGGGACTGCTGGCTGCCCTGGGCAGACCCCCCAGGGGCGCTTCCAGGCTCGGGACTTCTGTCCCACGGAACTTCCACCGTCTTCCTTCACTTTCTCACTAGACATTCCCACCGGACATCTGGAAACAGCCCTTCCTTCATTCAGCGGATGAGTGGGCAGATGCCACAGGGGGCTGCTATAGTCACAAAAGAAACTTCCATGGCAGGTTTGTTATGGGCCGCTTCGAGCCTCCAGAGGCTAAGGCAGCCTCGCCAGGGCTCACAGTGACAGTGTTAACTCCCACAGTCACAGCACCCAGGGGATCTGACTTTGCCCACAGAGCCCTTTGACTGCAGTGCTGGTAGTATTGTGGAAATTGACCAGCAGAGACTCGAGCCCTTCCTCTGGAGGGCAGCAAGCAACAGGAGTGCCCCCCAAGAGGCTGTGTCTCTAGCACCCCAAATCTATCCTTTATGGAGCATTTGCATGAGCTATTTTTAGTCCTGGTGGGGGCAAGCAAGCAGGACATGGAAGCAAACACACAGCAGTTAGCTGTGGCCATTACAATCCCAGAACTGCCAGGGTTGGTCCAGCCAGCACTGCCTCACCTCCTCCCTCATCCTTGGTCTTTACCTGATTGACTGTTCCTGTGAAGCCTACTTTCGTGCTGAGTGTCCTGTGTCCTGCATGTGAGCTTGCTTTCTGGTTTCCACTTCATCCCAGCCTTTTCACTTCCATAATCCCTTTTGGATTATTCATTTTATGCAGTGATACTGATGTTTTTGTATCACCAAGTGTAATCTGACTTGTATTCTAGATAGAACAAACCTTGTGAGGAGGTTTTGTAACAGCGTTCAGGCATGAGTTCAAGCAAGACTGTAACTACTGAGCTGGCTAGTGGTACTACCCAGGGGCCCCAGGAAGTCAGGCTTTGGGAGTTAGGATTACAACAATAACACAGTGTTCCTCTTGCCTTTGCAGGTCAACCATGTCCGAACCAGAGATTTCGACTGCTGCCTTGTTGTGCCACTCATAGCAGAATCTGGCAACAAGCTGGATCTGGTCATCAGTAGAAACCCCCTGGCCTCCCAGAAGTCCATGGACCAACAGACTCTTCCAGAAGGAGACTGGTGTGACCAGAACACTGCTTTTTCCCAGCAGCCCATCCACAGTGGTAACCTGGAGACACGAGAACCCACTAACACATTATAGCAGCACTTTTTATAAAGCAGGACAAAAGACGTTCTCTACATGGTGCTAAAAATCCCTTTCAGATTTCTGTGATATTTCAAGCACAGAGAATCACACATGGCATTAACTGCAAGCACAGGGGTCTTTTAAATCTCTCATGGCTCATGTTCACATCCCTTTTCAGGTTGAAGAGGTTTCTTTTTGGTGACCACTATGATATAGGGCAGGTACCTTCCTGCCAAGCCCAGTGGTAGAGAAAAATACGCAGGCTGCCCCTCCCCACAATTAACATCGGAGAAAACTTTTTACTACAAGTTCATCTCACTATCACTTTTTAAAAAGAGAAATATTTGAAAAAATTCTCTGATAGTTTCCTTACTTCACTTTCAAATCAGTTTCTTACTCTAAAGTCATTTAAGGTAAGAACTTGACCAACAAAATAGCTTTTCACCAAGCTGGCTCTACTAAGGGAACTGGTATTTGGGAAACTGTTGGAACTGTGTAATGGGAGGGGTACCGATATAAAATTAGCTTGAAATGTTCCAGCAGTGGTGCACGTAGAAGATCATAATAGGTGGTGGTAAATGTTTTGCCTAAATATAGGAATGATTTAACTAAGATGTATGCTATTCCCTATGCAACAAATGACCAAACAGGATATGTCTTGTGACCTGTTTTTTTTAAAGACATTTTTAATAGCTAAAAACCTCTGATAATGAATTAGAGTATGTAGTAACACTAAATAATTTCTTTTTAAATTTCAAGACTAAGAACTTAAGAGAGAATGCAGAGTCTACTCAAATGAAGCTCACCTTAATGATAGGCAAATCAAGCTCATACTGCTTGACGTGTTTTGCAAACTGGTAATATTGAGGGGTACACAGCACATGTACTTACACACGGCACTGGACTAGCTTTTGTTCTGAGCCACGCCACTTACTGAATTGTAAATACATTTTTCACAAAATGCATTGCCAATTATTACCATCCTTCAAAGCAATAAATTGTGACAGTTGCTTTAAATGTTTGTTGGCAACTGTTTTCATTTGTTCAGATATTTTGAATAGATACACTAATAAATGTTATTTGGTAAATATTAAAAAAAATAGATCTGTATATTGAAGGTAGAATCTCCATATTGAAACAATTACTTTGCAAACATTTTCATTTTGATCAGCAATTCAAACAACCACCTAGGCAAAAGCATTCACACACTGTCGTACATTTAAGGAAAAAGTTCACCTTTCTTTTTGGGCGAAGAACTGGATCTCAGTCACATTTCAGAACCGCCAGGGCAAGAAAGTGTAAAACAGAATCATGCTAAGAAGAAAAAATCATGAGTCACTTAAATATGTATTTTTATTTGTAACAAACAAGTATTAAGCTGTAAAGTATTTTTGTACAAATTTAATACTTTAATAGCATGGTATTTATCGTCTGTATGGTTTTGGGGAATTAAAAATTCTTGCAAATATTTGTATGAAAAAACCCCTCTACTAAATGGAATAAACAGTGATTTTAAAAAGGAAAAAAAAAAAAGCTGTGTGACATTTGTTTTTGTGCTTTGAAAACAAGTAGACTTTGGACCTGAAACCAACATGATCATTTTTACATAATTTCTTAAAGAGGGAGAAGGCTTTGCCACAAGCTTTAAAAGCACACAGAAAAGTAGGAAGAGCATGGATCTGACATGAGATCTGGGCAGGAATGGTGTTGTGAAATTCACTCACCCCACCTGTGATAGCAGTTACTGTCTACAGCACAGGGCTGACGTGAGGAGCAGGGCTGCCATCTACCTGCAAGGGCTGTGGACACCTGCCACGCCAGGACAGCTCTAAGATCCACAGTACATTTACATTAGGTGACTCAGACAGACCTTAAATCAAGATGCAGAATATCCGCCTTGGAGAATGTTCCAGGTAGTCTATGAGCTACACTTACACCAACTGTGGTAATACGCAAACTCTCAGTATGCTGCCTTTAAAACAGAAAAGCAGTCATACCTACAACCCATCTCAGGCTGTGCATCCCGTGTCCAGGGTTATATCCTTAAAAACAGCATTTTCTAGCACACGAGAATAAAACAAGACTGCACAAAAACAAAGCTACTGTTCATTGTTATCATTTTCATCTGCTTGAAAAACCACTAGAGATAATGCAACTTTATATTGCAGCTCACCTATACAGAGATCTCCCATCCACTGGTTCCTTCCTCAAACACCTGCAACATTCAGGGCTGTGTCAGACCAAAGCCAGCAACAAGGAACTTTATCCAGGACTGCTACTTGAGTGCCAGGTGACAAAGTGCTCAAGTCAGCATGCATCATCAAAAAAGAGAAGTGCCCATGGGGTGGTTTAACGCACTGCAGCACAATACCTATCCCATTTATTCACATTTGTACTGTGTAGTTAATACAGTATAATTAAAATAGCATGGTCTAATTTCTGCATCAGGAATGAAGCTGAAGCCAATAAAATGAAGCATGGGTGTAACGATGACGTGAACAAAGGCAGAGGCGCAGCTGTATCTCCTGGGACAGACTCCGCTTTTTCAGTTGTCAACACTGAGACAAGTCAACAGAGGAAATGGCTGGTCAAGCTAACAGGCAGCACCATTCAGACACAGGGACAAGGAAAATAAGACGCTCCCCCGCTCGAAGGTCAGCTCGCAGGCTGGAGGACTTCATCGCTCCAGAAAGGGAATGAAAGCAATGGGGGCCATGCCACTGAGTGACACGATAAATGACAAATGGGGCCCAAGTCCAAGTTCTGTTTCCAAATACTAGGACAGAATCAAGACCTACCGATGGAGGGTTCAGTGGGGTAGAGTGCAGCTTAAAATAAGGAAGTAATTTCTAACATTAATGTTATGACATGGTTCTGCCCCATCCAGTCTAACCCATTTAGCACTGTCGTTGATGGGCATCTGGAAAAGTCATAAGCCAGACCAGAGTTTACTGCTGCAAAAATTCACATGCCGTAATTCAACACATTCACTTTAAGTTCAACTCACAGGCCCGTAGGAAGTGTCATCTTGTAATTAAATCCTCCAGAATTTGGACAGGATAAGTGATTTGTGTCCTAGCCACTAGTACATTCACACTATCAGGACTAGTGCTTTGGAAAGAACCAACAGTTCTAGTTTCACCATGTTTTAAGGGAAAAGGGATCTATTTTCAAGATCATCTTGCTAATCTTGAACTCTGCCTGAGCCCCATGCTCTGAATACAACCATCACTCTCTTACTTTTATTTTTGTAAGGTAAGTAGCAACTAATCCTGTCCCCGCCCACCAGAACAAAGAACCCAACTTCCTCATTTGACTACATTCATTGATGCCACCATTCTTATTCACCAGTTAACATCAGATACCCACCCCCTCCAAGTTCCTCCTCTTTGCATAATAGATGGCTAACTACATTGATTCTAACTCCTGAAAAATCACACAAAATAAGCTTCCTCCCATGACAGACCCTGAACTTTGACCAACCTTCAACCTGAACTAGCATACAACTCCTCCTTTGGGCCTCTGCTAAGAACAACAATGGACTGGGTCCTGCGGCATGGCCTCCTGTCTAAAGTCCTCACCTTGAACACACTGGGATCCCACATGGGCACTGGTTCTAACCCCGGCAACTCCACTTTCCATCCAGCTCCCTTGCTTGTGGCCTGGGAAAGCAGTCGAGGACAGCCCAATGTTTTGGGACCCTGCACCCATGTGGGAGACCTGGAGGTTGTTCCTGGCTCCTGGCTTTGGATCGCCACAGCACCAACCATTGCACTCACTTGGGGAGTGAATCATTGGAAGCAAGATTTTCCTCTCTATCTCTCCTCCTCTCTGTATATCTGACTTTGTAATAAAAAATGAATTAATTAAAAAAACAATGGATTAAGATTAATGATATAGAAAACAGACAATACAGAATGAAATTATAGTTAGTTCATTAAATAGATTAACAAACCTCATACCCTCCTAGCTAAAGATTGAAAATAAGGTTCAAATTATTTAAATTCAGAATCAACACAGCGAGGCATGGGGGAATGCTTTAACAACCTTAAAGAAAAAAAACAACTATAAAGCAATACCGTGGTCATCTTCATGCCAACACATAATGTATGAAATGGAGAAATTGCAAGAGGCACACGAACTATCAAAGCTGACTCTACAAGAACCTAGAAGGACCCTTAAGAAGGAAACAGATTTAATTAGCAATTTTAAAACTTTATGCAAAGAGAAAGTCCAGGCTCACATGGCTTCAGCGGTAAATTCTACCAAGCATTTAAAGAATTAGCAACATTTTGCTATGTTTTCCAAAATAAAGGGGGAGGGGACATGTTTCAACTCACCTTGTGTGCTGAGGAGGACCCTGTTACTTAAAGCAAAGATAATCAACTAAGAAAAGGGGAGCACATGCTGACATGTCGTATGAATATATAAATACAAAAATCATCAGCAAAGACTAGCAAATCCAGCAGCATACAAAAAGATTCATATGACTAAATGAGATTCATTCCAGGGATTTAAGGTTGCCTTAATATCAAAAATCATTGTAATATCCTATGTCTGTACAATAAGGACATGATCATTCTAACTGATGTTGACAAGACATCTGACAAAATTTATTGTTCAATCGTGAAAAATGCACAAGTTAGGAACAAAGGCTTTCATCATTTGCTTCAAAGAAAAACTCACAGCTAATATCATAGTTCATGTTAAAAGATTTAACACTGTTCACATAATACCAGGAACAACATAAGCACGCTCCCATTTGGCACACCTGCTTAACATCTTACCGTGCATTCCTACAAGGTCATTAAATGGGCAGGAAGTGCAGTGAAAGGCACCTGCTGGAAAGGAAGAATTAAATAGTCTATTTACAGACAATAGGATTTCTTCTATAGAAAATCCTGAAGAATCCACATAAAACTTACAGGAAGTAATAAAACAGTTCAGCAAGGTTTTATATCCACATGTATTTCCATAAAGTAGTATTAAACAAGTCAAAACTGGTTTAAGAAAATAATTTTTATTTACAATAGGATTAAAGGGAATAAAACATTTTGTAACATATTTAATTTAAAAGCAATACAAATCTAATATTAAAATATACTCTGAAAACTACAAAGAAATTATAGACATAAATGCATCATAAACCATCCCATGTTTGTGGATGATAAATTTAATCATAGCAACACACTCCCTATCTTTAGAGTTAACACAACCTTCATGAAAATCTCAGCTTGGCTTCTTAGCAGACTGCCAAGAGTATCCTAAAACCCACATGTGAAATAACCTAAAAAATCTTGAAAAGGAACCACACTGGAGGAATCATAGTTCTTTATTTAAGAACTAGGCTGTAGTATTAAAGATAGTATGGTGTCGGCCCAAGCACCAAGATACCAATTCATGGAATAAAATTTCGAGTCAACACACAAACCAAGTGATTTTTGACAGGGTACTGAGACAATTGAATGAGGAAATCTCAAGAAATGAACTAGGGTTTGGCATTGTGGCACAGTAATTTCAGCTTCCATCTGTGATGGCAGCATCTCATACGGGTACTGGATTGAGTTCCAGCTCCTTCCCCGCAACCCTTTCTTATGGGAAAGTCAGATTTACAGAGAGAAGGAAAGAGAAAAAACTCTTCCATCAGCTGGTTTACTCCCCAAATGGTCGCAATGGCTAGACCCGAGCCAATCCAAACCCAGGAGCCAGGAACAACTTCTGGGTCTCCCATGCAGGTGCAGGGTCCCAAGGCTTTGGGCCGTCCTTGACTGCTTTCCCAGGCCACAGTCAGGGAGCTGGATGGGAAGTGGCAGCTGGTCCATTTCTTTTCGAGCTCTCTGCCGATGGCCTGGGAAAGCAGCAGAAAACAATGGGAGACCAAGACAAAGCTTCTGGCTTCGCCTGGCTCAACCATGGCCATGTGGGAGTGAAGCAGCAAATGGGAAATCAGTCTTGTTCTAACTTGAAGCCAGGAGGGACAGCTGCATATTCACATGCAGGAGAATGGAGCAGGGTCCCCTCCCAAGAGCATACACCAAAACTGACTCCAATACCTAAATGTAGGAAATAAAACTTAGAGGAAAAATCTTCATGGTTTATTGGATTTAATACCAAGGATGCTACAAAAATAGATCTACTGGACATAATCAGAGCTCAAAACTTATGTCTCAAAGGACACTGTGATTTATCAGCTTGTTGTTACCTGGAGAAAGGATTTCTTTTCTCAGTGTTTTTGGAGGTGCAAGTCCAGGATGGCTCCGCTCCGCTAGGTTGGTCCTTCGGGGAAGGTGGCGGACAGCAGGCAGAGCGCGTGCACAGGAAAGCTCCGCCAGCAAGCCAGGACACCGCTGGCCCAACGCCGGCTTTAGTACAAGCTCAGGGAAACCGCTGAGGGCACAAACCCTCCACCCTCCACTAGGTTTCCACCTAAAAACACTTCTTGCAACCCAAAATGCCACCCTGGGTAGCCAGCCTTCTGTACACGGACCTCTGGAGGACAGACACCTCCAAGAAAGGAAACATAAAATGCACAGAATGGCAGACAAGTATTGCAGGTCACATTTTGGCAAAGCACATGTCGGCAGAACATACAGAGAATGCTCATATTTTGATCAGGAAAGGAAAAATAATCCAATTTTAAAGTAAGGGACAAGATCTGCAAAGGGAGAAATAACCAATTAGTGAAAGATGCGGAACATCATCAGCCACAGGAAGAAAGCAAATCAAAACCACAACTCAGCAGCATTTCACACGCAGCCGGGGCGTGGGGGGTGGAGAGGCAGGCCCTGAGGCAGGCAATGAGGTCAGCTGCCCAGCTCGGGTCACCTGGGTGGGATCCTGGCTTGGGATCTGATCGGGATGCAGGGGCAGCAGTGGAGGCTCAGCTGTGTCCTGGCGCTCCTGGCAGTGACCTGCACTGCATTCGTGCCTGCCTTTGGCTTGAGGAGTCACCAGCAGATGGGCGCGCTCTGGGTCTCTTGGCCTCTTAAATCATTTATTTAAACCAGGTAATAATAAATACCGGGAAGAAGAGAGAAGCTACAGCCCTCACATAGTACTAGTAAAAATATAAAATGGGACGGGTGATTTGGAAAGCCGTCTTGCATTTCCTCGGAAGGTTAAACATTACATGGCAATTCCACACCTAGTTATATGCCCAGAATAAATTAAAGAATTAAAGTACATCTCCAAACACAACTGTAAACATGGATGTTCAGAACAGCATTCAAAGTCACAGCAGCCAAAACAGGCAAGTCCTACATTTCTAACTGTACAATGTAATGCTATTAGAGCAAAAGAAAAATGGAATATTACCGACAGTGCACAGATGAACTCTGACGACATAATGCCAACCAAGATCCACATGTTGTAGATTCCAGTGACAGGAAATGCAGAAAAAGATGACTGCTTGTCTATGGTTGGGGAGGAGGCCGCAGATTGGGCATTTATGGCTGAGGAGTGCCTTGCTTCTTTTGAGGATATGAAAATATTCTCAAATTGATTACGCTGATGGCTGCACAACACTGAGTATAGCACAAAGCCATGGACTTTAACGGAATGGATTATATCTCAGCAAAGCTAGTATAAACACTAGAGCAACAGGCCCATTTTCCTTCTGAATCTTTAAAAATATTATTTGAAAGGTGGAGTTGCGGGGGGGGAGAAGGAGAAAGAAAGGGAGCAAGGAGGGGAGGGAGCGAGAAAAGGGGGAGGGAGCTTCAGACCAAGGCCAGGGCACCACCTCCCATGCAAGTCTCCCCTGCAGGGGCAGAAACCGGAGCACTGGGGCCAACACCTTCTAGGCACCCCTATGAGACAAGTGGTACCCCACGTGCTGGCTTCACTCCAGTGCTTACCCCCTAAGCTTACACTTTCACCATGTGTTGCCATAGCAGAGTATCACATTCTGGGTAGGTTAAGAGAAAATAGTCATGTCTCACACTTCTGGAGGCTTCTGGAGCCTGGTCCAGGGTGGAGGTGCTGGCAACTGGCAGAGTACTTCTTGCTACTTCATCACACGGCAGAACGTGAAGGGCTGAAGAGTTTGCGAGATGACAAGAGGTGCCAAGCCTGCTTTGCTCTAACAGAAACCATGGCGTGGTGGCCTTCATCATTCCGGAGACCTAAGTTAGCGCCCACTAGGCCCCGTCCCCAACAGGATTGCACTGGATATTAGATTTTCAACACGTGAACTCTAGGAGATACAATTGAAGTACAGCACCAATTAACAATAAATACAAAATGTAAAAACCAAATCCCTCTTAGAGACATTTTCCCGAAGTGGAATATATCTAAAAGAGCTTGTTCCCAACCCAGAGGGCATTCACAGGGCTAAGTCCCAGCAGTACTGGGGGGCAGTGGCGATGGAGTGGAACGGGACCTTTGGCAAATGACCACTTTGCTGAATGACACCGCGTCCGGGAGAGTCACAAACACCAACAGAGGCAATTAGGGCTCATCTTTGCCTTTGCTTCAACTCATTTGCAAAGACAACCTACCATGACCACAGAAGTTAATAAGGCATGAATTATCTTATCCTAAAAAATCAAAACTTCTTACAATACAGTCATAACTTTCCCCAACTTATATCCAGTACTGCAGCTTTCATGATAACACACTGAGATCATTAACACTTTCTTTGATTCGATACATTTAAAAATACTTGATACTCATGTCTTAAAATTCCAGGCACAGACGTTTTCTTTTTATCTTGAAAATCTGAAACAATGTTCATTTTGGTCTTGAATGGAGAAATCAAACAGAAAATTATTTTGAGCAATATGAAGTAAAATTATGTTTGTTGATTTTCCGTGGGTTTAAAAAGTTGTCTGCGTGCTAAACTATTTAGCTTCAAATTCTGAAATACTGAAGACACTTGTGGAGATTCCTGGTCCATCTGTTAAAACAAAATCAAAAAGTGAATTTTGTGATTCTAAGATGGCTGAACGGGGGGAAAGACATGCTGGTTTTGTTAAGGGGAACTTGACAAAAAGCGAGGAGGTGGGGGAGGTCAGAGGATGTTTGCAGTGGGATCTTTAGGGGAGGAGGAGGAGACATGAGGGCAGGGTGGGTGGTACACCTGCGTGGCAGCGTGGGGGCCAGCACCCGACTCCATCTGACGCTGGGGAGACTGCCACTGGACAACTGGAGGTCTGCGGGTTTCCGGGCCCTAGCAGGGGGCAGGTAACCAGTGAATCCCATTGAATCCAAACAGCAGACCAAAGAAACTTTAACACAAACTGTCAAAAGAGGCAACAATGGGAACAATGTGAAGATTAAGGGATCAATTTGCAAGAAAGAGATGACTTTAGTAAATGTGTATGCATCCAAGGCCAGGGTGCCTGGCTATGGAAACAGATGTTAACAGGCTGAAAAGGAGACAAAGACTCCAGTACAACAGTGATGGAGGGCTTCAACACCCCACCTCATCCATGAGAAAATCAACAAACAGAGCTGATCCACACATGGACCAAGTGGGACTAATTGATATCAACAGAAAATTTTACCCACAGTTGAAAATAGACATTCTTTTCAGCAGTGTGTGCCATTTTCTCCAGGACAGAACACATGGCAGGTCATAGAGCAAGTCTCAGCAAACCGTAAAAAGAAAAAAAAAAAAAATGCACACCATACCAAGTATCTTTTCTGACCTGAGTGAATGAAGAAAATTAACAATTCAGGATATAAGGAGATTATGCCAGCACGTGTAAACCGAACAACGCAATCCTGCATGAGCAACGGGTCACAGAAAAGATGGAGTAGGGAAACTAAAAAAATTCCTGGAAATAAATGAAGATCATAACACAACGCATCAAACTTACAAATACGGCAAAAGTAGCATTAAAAGGAAAGTTTATAGGGCCCGGCAGCGTGGCCTAGCGGCTAAAGTCCTCACCCATATGGGCGCCGGTTCTAATCCTAGCAGCTCCATTTCTGATCCAGCTCCCTGCTACTGACCTGGAAAAGCAGCCAAGGGCAGCCCAACACCCTGGGCCCCTTCACCCATGTGGAAGACACAGAGGAAAGTTCTGGCTCACAGCTTTGGACCAGCTCGGCTCCAGTAACTGCAGACCAACTGGGAAGTGAACCAGCAAATGTAAGATCTCTTTCTGCAACTCTATCAAGTCATATAAATAAATCTTTAATAACAATAAAAAAAGACAGCCTCGTACTGGCACAAAGACAGACGTGTGGATGAATAAGCAGAATCGACCTGATAAACGACCTGAAATCAATCTTTGAAAAAAGAACAGTCTCTTCATCAAATGATGTGATCTTTAAGAAGAAAATAAAGCTCGAGGAAGCACAATTCCAGATCTCAAGATACACTACAGAGCAGCAATCATCAAAACAGGCTGGCATTGGTACAGAAATAGAGAAGACCAATGGAACAGAACAGAAACCCCAGAAGGGAGCCCACACGTGTGCAGACAACAAATCTTTGACAAGAGAACTGAAAATAATCCAGGGGAAAAAGTTGGTTTCTTCAACAAATACCGTTAGGACAACTGGACAGCAGCCTGCAGAAGTGAGAGGCAAAACCCCTCCTGTCAGCTTATACGAACAGCAGCTCTAAATGGATCAAGGATCAAATCTGCAGCCAGAATCCATCAGACTTTTAGAGGGAAACACAGCAAGTTCTCTCCAAGATACAGGCATTGGGAAAGACTGGTTCTAAAATTCACCCAAAGCACAGGCAGCCAAAGCCAAAATAAACAAATGGCTCCACATGAAACTACGAAGCTTCCGTACAGCAAGGGAGACAATTAACAAAGTGAAGAAGCAACTGACAGAATGGAGAATATCTTTGCACACTGCACAGCACATAGGAAACTAACACCAGGATTTACAAAGAGCTTCAGAAACTCAACAACAGCACAACAAACAACAAAGCAAAGCCAAAACTCCAACCAAGCATTGAATATGGGATCTGGGCCTCACAAGCAGCAGTTGCACCAAGAATTTCCTTACCACAAAATGGTACCCATACTAAATTCTTGGCAAGCAATTGAAGTAATTATATTCATTACCTTTAATGTCTCTTTGAATATTGTAAAAGCTCAGATTACAAATTCATGATGATCTAACGTATGTGTTTTCCTGGGTCTCGGAGCAGTAAGCTCAAATAAACTCTTGTTTCCATACAAGACAATTCTGCCAAAATGAAGTCAGTTGCTTCTGACTATTCCCCTCTGAGTGCTTCAGAAAAATACCTAACACATGTTTTGCAATCCACGGAAAACTAGAGGAAACAGAGCCAGTGGCTTTCAGCCCCTTAGCAAGAGCTCACTGTCACACACCCAGCACCCAACAGTGGGCCTGGTATGTAGAATGAATTCTTTCATGAGTAAGTACACGCCTAATCCCTAAAGGCACATGCAGACCCACTACATCATTTAAAGCATGGGTTCTCAGTTCAAACCTTAGGAATTTCAAGGTAGTGACAACAGAGCACATTAAGCTTTAAGCATGGAGTCCTGTATGGCTGCTCAACTGTCTGACCACAATAACGCCCTGCCTGCAGTAACGGGAGACCCGCAGTGCCACCATCACATCCTTCGTACTATTAGTGACGCCCACATGACAGTCAATGGGCCAGTGTGATCATGAGATTTCATCATTAGGAAATGGACAAATAAACACAACTCAGGTTTAAAACAGGCTGTATATGTACGCAGAGGATCCATCTTTCACAATTTAAATTTTGTTCACGGTAGCAGACTATTTCATAGCTTATCTTATGTGTCAACTTGGCACAAGTATTATTCTAGATGGCTCTCTGAAAATGTGTTTTAGGCAAAACAGATGTTCAATTAAGCAGACACTAAGACAGATACACAGAAGACAGGACACAGTATCTCCCTCAACTGTTCCTGTGTCCTTGGCCCCTGCACTCTAACCCTTCTTACAGTTCCTCACCTGTAGTTGCCTAATACGCCAACACTTCAGGCAAACTCAGAGAACCTTCTAATGACTGCATGCCCATCTGAGGACAGAGCGTGTGGAACTCAGTCTGGCATCAGCAATTACCATGAACACTTCATCATCTGGGTTCCTGTCACAGCCTCTCGGTGTCATTACCACAGCTGGTGAGGCCGAAGACAAGTCCACCGCCTGCACACACAGCCGGTTTAAGCTTCCTGTGGGACTTCATTTGGAAATACCTTACAATCCCAACTTTTTTTTTTTTTTTTTGAGAAAATGGCATTTCTCAAACTGGATCATCCAACTGGTAAAACCCAGAAATCAAACAACTTTTGGAGGATCCTACAACTCAAAGAATAACTCAGTATGTGTTTGTTTCCCTTATGAACATTCAAAAAGATCATTTAGTGTCTCTGCAAACCATTTCAAAAGAAATTCTCAAAGCAGGGGACACTGCAAGAATGAGAAGGCTTTAAGTAAGATTCTGAAAGTCTGAATCTCCTTACAGCCCCATTGCCTTAAATTCATAACTCTTATTGTCATGACTACTTCGGAAGTATTAGCAAGTGACAAGCAATTGTGCCAGATGTCCTAGCAGATCAACAGTGACAGCACACTCAGGAGGTCCGATTCACAGAGCTGCAGGTGGTGGTTACTGCTTGCGCAGTGGAGGCAAAGGGCACTGCCTCCCCCAGGAGTTTGCAGAAGGGGAAGACTTCATGGACAAAACAGAAACCGAGCCGGACTCAAATACAGGAAAAAACTGCAATGGAAGAAAATACACCAAGATAGACTGCCCTCGGCAAAGGAGAAAGGTCCTCTGACCCACACCCATCTAAGTCACTGTTCCACTCACTGTTTTCTACCTTGCCAACTCTAGGGCTCCCTTCCCGTAACAACCCCCTCTGCATCCCAATTTCTTCACTGGATTATCCAGCCACACATTGAGAAGCCTTAACATGCACACCCAAGATCAATGAAATAATAAATCCATCCTTGCCCAGAGGTCTTCCATCCGGATACAACACCATCCCCCCACGTCTTCCCACAGTACCATCCTTGGAGCTCACCCCTTGCCCTCTCCTCTCACCAAGCTCTGCTGCGAGCTGATCGGGCTCTTATGCCCTTCCCTCCGCACTGATTTTTCTATCTTACAGACATTGTTTCAGTCTCCCTTTGTTCCTCTACCAGCAGACCTGGCAGGGTTGGGGATAACACAGCACTGTCGTGAGGATGCCCTCCTCGCTCTGGTTTCTCCTGAAATTAACTGACCTAGTCCTTCTGATGCTACCACGGGCAAAACGGTTCCCAAACACACACTCTCCATCCCACTCCGACCTGAGCTGCTCCATCCCTCCAGCAGCTTCTGACTTATTTGTTTAATAGGCAACTTAAACACAGCCTGTCACTATCCATTTCCACAACAGGAGTTTTCACATAGCTCTCATCTCAAAGAAATGGCACTGCTATTGCCTAAATTTCTTCACTCAAAAATCCAGGAATCATTTGAATTACTTTTCCTCTTACTCCCTCATGCAAACAGCAAGGGATATAGACCTCGTTGTCAAGATGCAACAAGCACCCAAGCCCGTATCAGCCACCGATTCTCTGCAGGCTCTCCCAGGACCACCTCTTGCCTGGTCTGCTTGCTCTCCCTGCACTACACACAGATCACCTCCACAGAAACCAGAAGGGACATCACTGAGTGCACACTACACGACATCACATTCCTGCGTACAGCCCTCTCCGGATTCGACTGTGAGCAGAACAAAATCCCAACTCCCTCCGGTGACTCCACCCACCTCGTTCTTGCTAACCAGTGACGTGGGCTTTCCACCACTTCTACACAAAAATGACCGCCTTTTCAGGTGGGTGTTTCTGCATCCTTGGCCTGGCAGCCTCACTTGCTGGCTCTATCACACCATTCAATGCATGGCTCACCTGCCACCTGTCCCACAACACGCCAGCCTGTAGCTAACATAGCACCTGCTGCCTGCCCTCCCCACCCCAATCCCTACCTCACTGTATTTACTTCATTGCCTCATAGTCTTTCTTGATCAAGATTCTATTTTTCATGTATTGCCTATGTCACATCAATGCAACCTAGTAAGTGTGAAGCTAGGAACGTATCTTCCCTCCAACATTGGGATCAGTGATTGGCATGACAGTTTTTCAAAGTTTTGTTATTTTTTTTTAAATGCTGAGTGAGGAAAGGCAGAGAGAAAGGCAGGAAAGCCAGGTACATAGCAAGGGCCAAAGGGAACAGAAGACGCTAGGAACAGTGGGACATGCAATGTATAGAAAGCTGACATCAGACCAGAAAGGCCCCAAATGCCAAGCTCGACAGACCAGAATTTGTGTGCAGGCACCAGGAAACCACTAAAGGTTCTGAACGAAGGAGTGAAAGGAGCACAGCGGGGCAGGTGAGCTGGTGACAATGTGGGGGTCCACCAGGAGAACAGGAGCTAGGCAGACAGCAAAGTAGGCAGGGCCGCAGCTGGCTGAAGTGAGATCACGACCTAACCCAGGCAGACTAGCTAGAATGGAAGAAATCAGAGAGAGGTTTTGCAACAAAGCTAGCAACTACTTAGAGGTATGCCAAGCAGTGTAACTGCCAGCATAGACTGCAATGTGGAATCCAGCAGATGCAAAATGGCATTGATCCATGAGTCCACAAAGACCTTTGGGGGGGAAAAAATCCGGGTAAGGAATTGGCTAGCTGGCCCCTCTTCAGGGTGGGGGCACACAAAGGATCCCCACATCCCTGGCACAGCTGTCTCCACCACACGCAAGAGTGAGGACCGCCACCTGTATCTGAATCCCCAGTCCCTAGGGTGAAAGCCGGTGGAAATCGTGTTGAACAAAACCACCTGTGCGAAGAGCAGGGCTGCAACCACGAGGCTCCCAGGTGAAGGGAAGCCAGCCTTGCAGAAAGGCCTCCAGAGAGGATGGGAAAACAGCGCATAAGGGAGAAGACTGGGGGAGACAGAGCCAGTGTCAGACAAACCCACACTGAATCCAGAGGAAGAACATGCTGAAATGGCAGCGACACTTGGGCTTCCGCATGTGGGGGAAAGAAAGGCCAAGACCCGCGAGAGGCCCTTGGAGTTGGCAAGAAGAATGCCACAAAGGGTGTAAACGAAGCTCTGCGGATAAAAGCCAAATTAGCATCTGCAAAAATGGAGGCCAGGTGGGCAAAGCGCTGACAAGGAAGATAACCAGAAAGAATAGGATGAGGAAGAGATTTTTAGGGTTTTGGTGTTTTCTTTTTTTAAAAATTGTATTTATTTGAGAGACAAAGCGTTTCCATTTGCTGGCTTGCTTCCCAAATGCCCGCGAGGGCTGGGGCTCAAACCAGGCCCCCCATGTGGGTGGCAGGGACCCAGCTGCGTCATCACCCACTGACTGTCTCCCGGTGCTGGCATCAGCAAGCAGAAGGAGTCAGGGTTGGATGTGGACGGTGAGCCCAGGCGCTCCAGCGCAGGTCGCGAGCATCTTAACCTTTCAGCCATGAGGCCAAATGCCCACCCCAACAAAGAGGTTTCTTCGAGCACATCTCTTCGCAACAACCAGCTGACGGTGCCGAAAGTGGCAGCCCCAAGCAGAGAAGAGGGATAGGACAATTGTTTCTAAGTCTTTTGGCAGAAGGCAACAGTATCAGACGCACACATTCACAGCGAAATACTTAAGAAAAACCTGAGCACTCCTACCATAAGGACTTTGTTTGGGCTTTCACTCTCTTTCAAACCACAGCCTCTTTTGGATCCCCGTGATTGTCTTAAATGCTCATCTTTATCCACTTCCTCGAGTGAAGGCAAATCCCATATCTCATCATCGTGTATGTTACAGTCAGCCAGAGAGTCCCTGCTTCCGCTGAGGTCACTGGTCTCCACATTCCACTTCCACATGGGGAGGGGAGATGCTGCTGGCTCAGTGCTGCCCTCTACGCGAGGTGCTGCTGGCTCAGTGCTGCCCTCTACGCGAGGTGCTGCTGGCTCAGTGCTGCCCTCTACGCGAGGTGCTGCTGGCTCAGTGCTGTCCTCTCTGTGGTCCCCAGTGCTCCTGCTTGGTGATGGAGAACACTGCGAAGCCAACAGGTCATCAGAGAGCTTATTTTGCAAGAAATGTTTCAAACGTGTTTTCCTGGTAACGTCGTTTCTCCTGATGGCAGCTTGGAGTTGCGACTCTTCTGCAATGACATACACTCGGCAGCGGCCCCTGGTCACTGCGGTGTAGACATGCTGCCAGTGTTGGCGGCCCGCCTTCCCCACCACGTACGCAACCGTGTGTTCCTCAGACCCCTGCAAGGCAAAAACACGGAGGGAAGGCTTGGTGCTGCCGAACGGGTCCCCAGGTTACACACACAGTAAGGAGGGGCATTCACACAGTTCTCCCAAGTACCTTCTGCTGGCTAAGAGACGTCACATAAACCCATACTATCAGTTCCATTTTATTCACTTCCCAAGACCTCACGTTTGCTAAGCATGTTACCATGCTCAGGACTGATATGTTCACAATTGGCTTGGAGAAAAATAGCTGTAATAAATGAGCACACAGTTCTACATCTTCCTTAACAAAAGACTTGGAGAAGCTGGCATCTGGCCTCACAGTTAGGATGCCAGTCAAGATACCACATCCCATACTGAGCTATCTGGGTCTGATCCCCAGCGCTGGCTCCCAACTCCAGCTTCCTGCTACTGCAGACACCAGGAGGCAGAAGTGATGGCTCCAGTGACCAAGTTCTTGGCTCCTAACTGCAATCCTAGACAGGGGCCATGGCAGACACATGGAGAGTGCACCAGCACACAGGAGCTTGTCTCACGCTCTCCCTCCTTCTCTGCTTTTTCTTTTTAAGATCCTCCATCCATTGGTTCACTCCCCAAGTGGCTGCAACAGCTGGAGCTGAGTTAAAAGTAGCATCTCAGTCACTGTATTAAATGTCTGGCCCAACTAACTTTAATAATTAAGTAACACTGGGAAAAAAATTGTGTGGCTTGTGAATGACATAAATATCCAAATGGCCACTGGGAGAAAAAAAAAAGGTTCCAAGCCCCAACCGTACAAGACTCTTCCCAAGAAGATCTGCTGGTGAGACAAGCTGGGAAGCAGGAAAGATAGTGACTGATGACCCAGACCCAGCACGCCTTGGATAATCAACTGTGCTTATTTTTTATTTAAAAAAAAAAAAACAGCTTAAAAGTTTAAAAAAATTAAAAATAGAAAAGAGTTTATAGAATAGAGGCATAAAAACATCTGTTTTGGAAGTCAGTCCTGTGGCATGGAAGGTTAAGACCACCACCTACAGCACTAGCACCCCAAATGAGCACTGATTTATGTCCCGGCTGCTCCACTTCCAATCCAGCTCCCTGCTGATGGCCTGGAAAAGCAGAAAAATATGGCCAAAGTTCTTGGACCTTGAGCCCACACGGATGCCTGCATGAAACTTCTGGTTGCTGGCTTCATGAGAGGGAGGAAGAGAAGGAAGAGGAGAGGAAAAAGCAAAGGGAGAAGGAGGAAGCTGAGGAGGAAAGGAGGAAAAGAGAGACAGAAGCAGGGGCAGCAGAAGAAATGAGAAAAACTGAAAATAGCACTCAAGCTTTATGGGATCCTATCAAATGACCAAACCTAGTAGATTCTGAAGATGTGCAAAGACAGAATTGATTATAAGGCCTATTCAGTTAAATACTATCAGAAAGGCTCCTTGATTTGGAGAAAGAGATAACCAGGTACAGGAAGTACAGAGAACTCCTAACAGACATGACAGAACAGTCTTTACCACGACACATTATAGTCAAACTTATCAGAAGGATTCAGAAATTGCACGAAAGAAATGCTAGATTACCTTCAGAGGATGTACGGTTAGACTGACAACTGATTTCTTAAAAGAAACCTTACAGACTAGGACAGAATAGAGAGTTATGATACAAGTCTTTAAAAGCCTGTCAATCCAGAACAGTGTAGCCTGCAAGGCTCTCATTTACAAATTAAGATGAGATACTTTTCAAAACAGAAGTTGAAAGAATTTGTCACAAATGTCCAGCCTTACAAGTGATGCTTCAGGATCGTCTGTACAGAGACACACAGAGTGACAGTCATCAAAGAATTTAAGGCAGAGAATCTCCTAGCACAAACATAAAGGAAATTTAAAAGAAACCAATAGGCATATACATAGAAAAATGGCACAGCCAAGTCATTACTAATCAATAATAAATAAAAATGGAAATGGCCTAAATTCCACAATGAAAAGACACTGACTGACCGAACAGATTACAAAAATAAGACCCATGAATTTGCAAGAAACTTACCACACCATGAAAGATATCCACACACGAAAGTTAGCAGGATGAAAAAAAGATATTTCATACTAAGAGAAAGGAAAAAAGAGCAGGAATAGCCACTCCATTATCAGACAAAATAGACTTTAGCACAACAACTGTTAAACGAGACCAAGAAGGGCTTTATGTAATGACTAATGGATCAATTCAGTAGGGAGATCTAGCCATAGCTAATCTGTGTGCACTCAATGCCAGGGCATCAGGCTATTTTAAGCAAATGTAAATGAACCTAAAAGGTGGCATGCTTTTTCATCAGTGCATAGAACTTTCTCTGGAAGAAACCACATCTAGACCACAAAGTCTAAAAAATGCAAGAAAATTGAAATCATAACAGGTTTTTTTCTGACTACAATGGAATGAAGCTGGAGATTAACACATGGAGACTAAATAAGACAGTCCGGAATAAACAGTGTGTCCAGCAAGAAATCAAAAGTGAAAGGAAGACAATCCTGAAAACCAATGAAGATGACAGCAAAATGTATCAAAATGTATGGTTTGCAGCAAAAGCAGTGTTCAGGGCGAAAGTCAGAGCAATTAGTGCCTACACCAAAAAATTAGGGAGTCAAATAACTGATCTAGTAATACATCTCAAGGATCTAAAAACACAACAACCCAAAGCAAAAACTGTAAGAGGAAAGAAATAATTAAGATTAAAGAAATAAAACCAAAAGATCAGTGAAATAAAAAGATTTCCAAAATATACAAAATCAATACACTACTGGTCAACCAAACCAAAAGAAAGAAACAAGAGCCCAAATTAATAAAATTTTAGATGAAAAAGGAGATATCACAATGGATACTGCAGAAATATCAATAATTACTATGAACAGTGGTATGCCAACAAACTGAGAAATTAGGAAGAAACTGATAGATTTCTGGACACAAACAATACCAAAATTAAGCCATGAAGAAATAAAAACCAAAAGAGACCAATCACTGTTACAGAGATTGAATCAGTAATAAAGACCATATAAAGAAAAGTCCAGGACCAGATGACTTCATTGTTGAATTCTATCAAACTTCTCAAGAAGAGCTGGTTACAGCTTTCTTAAACTACTCAAAACAATTGGAAGGAAGGGAATTTTCCCAAATTCCTTTTATGTGGCCAGAATCACCAGCTTAATCTCAAAGCCAGAAAAAGAAAATACAAAGAAAACTAAACACCAATACCTATCCCTGATGAAGACAGATGTAAAAATCTTCATCAAAATACTAGCTAACCAAGCTCTAAAACACATCAGAAAAATCATTCACCCAGACCAAGTGGAATTTATTCCTGCCTACAGGGATGGTACAATATATGCAAATCAATAAATGTGACACATTAACAAACTGAAGGATAAAAACCATATGATTATTCAATAAATGCAAAAAATCAGTTGATAAAATACAACTTTCTTTCATGATAAAAACCTTAATTAAGCAAACTAAGCAAAGAAGAAACACTCCTTATGGCAATAAAGGCAACAAAGGACAAACCCACAGCCAGCATCAGATTGAAAGGGGAAATGTCGTAAGCATTTCTAAGTCTGGAACTTTCCCACTGCAATGGCTCTACCAGTGCCATTACACAAGGAAAGAAATTAACAGATACTAACTGAAAAGGAGGAAGTCAAATGATCTCTGTCTGCAATTGACATGATCCTATATAGAAGGGAACCAAGATTCTACCAAGAACTACTAGAACTCATAAGAGTTGGGCAAAGTAGCAATATATAAAATCAACACAGAAAAATAAACAGCCATTTGTATAGAGATAGTGCTATGCCTGAGAATGAACTTGTAAGATTAATACTATTCATAGACCTGGAAAAAGTTACATACCTTGGGACAAATGTTACCAAGGATGTGAAAAATCTGTACAATGAAAATTGCAAAACATTAAAGAGAAAAATAAGATGCAAAAGTTTTCCAAGTTCATGAATTGTAAGAATTAATATCATCAAAATGCTCATAATTCAATTTCTACTCAAAGTGATTAAAAATGCATTGTCATTCCAATAAAAATGCCAACAACATTCTTCACAGTTTTAGAAAAAATGATGCTAAAATTCATAAGAAAACACTAGGGCAGTCAGATTGCTTTCACATTCTTAAATAACAATAACAAAGCTGGCGGCATCAAAATAACAGATTTCAAAATATACTTTAAGGCAGTAATTAATCAAAACAGCATGGCACTGGCAGAAAAATAGACACATAGAACAATGGGACAGAACAGAAGCCCCAGAAATCAGTCCATGAACGTACAAGACGATCTTGAACAAACAAGCTAAAAAAAATCAGTTCCTGGAAAGAGAACAGCTTTGCCAACAAATGGTGCTGGGAAAGTGGGAAACGAGATCTCTATCTTCCATCTTATGCAAAAATCAACTCTAAATGGGTGAGGGATATCTAAACCCAAGACCAGAGCCATGAAATTACCAAAGGAAAACAGTAGGGAAAATCCGCAGAGACGTTCTGGAAGAGTCCCCAGAAGCAGAGACAATTAACACAGAAATAGACAAGTGGGATTACATAGAGCTAGGAAGGTTCTGTGTTAAGGAAACCCTCAACAGAGTGAAGAGGCAACAAAAATGAAAAACACATCTGCAAACTATGCAACTGCGGAGGATTAACAATCAGGATTTAGAAATCTCCAGAAACTCAACAACAACACAATCCAGTTAAGAAATGGGAAAATGGCACAGTGACGTTTCAAATGATGAAATTCAAAAGGCCAAGAGACACATGACAAAATGCTCACAATCACCAGCCATTAGGCAAACGCAAGTGAAAGCGACAAGGAAGTTTTACGTCACGTCAGGTAGAATAGATATCATACACAAGTCAGAGAACAATGAATGCTGGCAAGGGCGTGAGGAAAAGGACACTCTAACCCACCGCTGGTGGGCAGGTGCACCGTGCAATCATTATGGAATACAGTATGAAGATTCCTCAGAAACCCAGAAAGAGTTCTACCACACAATCCAGCCATGCCTCTCCCAGGAATTTATCAAAATAAAATAAAATCAGCATTATGAGAGTTATCTGTACTAGCCTATCATTATTATTATAAAGTAGAAAGGAAGATGTACAGAGGAAAGGAGATACAGAAAGATCTTCCATCTGATAGCTCACCCCCAAGTGGCCTCAACAGCCACAGCTGAGCTGAGCCTATCCGAAGCCAGGAGCCCGGAGTTTCTTCCAGGTCTCCCATGGAGGTGCAAGGTCCCAAGGCTTTGGGCCATCCTCAGCTGCCTTCCCAAGCCACAAGCAGGGAGCTGGATGGGAATTTGAGCAGCCAGGACACGAATTGGTACCCATATGAGACCCCAAGCACATGCAAAGTGAGGATTTAGCCACTTAGCCATTGTGCCAGGCCCTGTACTTGCATGTTTATAGCATGTCAATTCACAATCGCTAAAATATGGAATCAACCCAGATGTTCACTAACTAATGACTGGAAAAAAGAAATGCGGTATATATACACTACGGAATACTATTCATACATTAAAAAATAAAATCCTGCCCATTACAACCAAATGGATGTACAGAAACCGTTATGCTTCTCTGATCCACTGTCACTAATATACAGACTACAAAAAATGCACTCTATGAAACTGACATGGAGATTTGATTATTGGTTATATCTTTTGTCTATACTCAAGGACTACAGGTGTTGGTTTTATTTGTTTTTCCTACTTATTTATTGAATTCTTTGCCTAATGAGGGATTAAGCCTGTGCTACAAAGGGAGCTGAAAGCATGTCACTGTAAAAATCAGAAACAGGAAGGAGAAAACAGGATAAAATTGCAGCTGAAAGGGTAGAGGCAAGCATCAGTATGCTCCGAAATCCGCACTGTGAAACACCGGAAATGTGTTCCCCTTACACGAGTAAAAAGGATAAAGAAAAAAGTGAGCAAAATACTACTGTTCATAGGGCATTATCTATATTTTAAAAATTGCGTATTTTTTTGGAAGGTCTTCCATCTTCTGGTTCATGCCCCAATTTCCACAACAGCCAGAGCTAAACAGCCACCTCTCCGTGCTTTTATAAATCCTGATTCATTTAAGACAGAAGCAACAGAAAGTGAAAGCAATGCAAAGTGCTCTGTGGCCTGGAAAGCGATTTAAAGTGCTTTGCAAAAGTTCACTCCTACCTGGAAGGTATGAATAGTTCTTGCCCAGGCATGTTTTATGTGACAGTGTTTCATTAATTTTTTAAAATCCACGGTTACTTCCAAGCCAGCCATATTACTGATAGTCAAAGATCTTCTTTTACTGGAAGTCCAATCTGCTACATCCTGTCACCAAAACAAAACAATTTTCTTCAAATATGAACGCATGAAGATATTTGGGGTTGAACATAAACACTTTACAAATAAAATATTGCATGTAATTCTTACAAATTTGAAAGTTTGAAAGACTCAAAATCCAATTTCAACAAAAACCAAATATATCCACTCTTGAGTATTTTAATGCACACAAGATGTTTTTGCTCTGTGAGTCATCTTTCATTCAATTCCTGAAGAGCGGTCCGTGCTGCCCTATTGAAGTCTACGCATTTCCCTTCTTCCCTGGACCACATGTGTCCGCAAAGACTCCAAGTTCCCATTTCCTCACAGCTTTCAGGAAGATAATTTAGAAAAGTATCTGGACACTAAAAAGAGATACAAAGCAACCAGGTCCATGGGCTCCACACTTAAGCCACAGTCAAGGAAATGAACTGTACAAAATAAATGAATCACTTGGTTTTTACTGCTGCAGCATTTCAAACTTACTAAAAACGCTTTTTCACAAAGGCTTCCAGAAAATAAAAGGAATACTCCCCAGCTCATGTTGTGGAGCCAACATCATCCTGATACCAAAACAAGATGAGACCATCCTGGAAATTAAGATCTTTCATGGATGTAAAAATCCCTAACCAAAAGCTGTGACACAAGAATGCCAACTCAGAATCAATGCCAGGCAATAACAGAACAGGAGGGAGCGGCTGGCCGAGCAGTCGGCGGTATCAGCTGGGAAACATGCACCAAGTATCCGAGTACTTGTCCTGAGTCGTAGCTCCAGTGTGGACTCGCTCTGCAGGTGCACATCCCGGGAGGCGGCAACGACCTGGAGCTGCGGCTTCAGCCTGGCCCAGCGCCAGCTGCTGTGGGCATTGGCAAGGTCAATCAGTGGGCAGGAGACTGGTCTGCCTCTATTTCTCTGCCTTTCAAACTCTTAAAAAAGAAATGTAAAGAAAACAAACACATTGCCAATTGATATTATTTTCCTGTTGTCACTTACATTCGTTATGAAATATATTTCTCCGTTACACAGTCGAATACTACTGTCAAGGTCATGCTTATTCCTTGCACCATCATGAGGAGCAGCCTGGGGATCCAGATCATTATTTTGTTGACTTTTTGAGGCACTATCTGGGAGTACATCTGAGAGATACGCATTCCTGGTACAACAAATTTTATCACCAATTCCAAACACAAGTCTTTTCTGATGGTCTCTGGGTTAGAAAGTGATGATAATACATCAACAAAGTTCAGAAAAATTGCAATGTCATTTTGTTTAAGCATTAATTCCCACTGAGATCCAATGCAATTACCCAAATAACTGGCACACACCCTCCCATCACTTTCATTCTCCAAAGGTGAAAAAGCAGACTCCATTATTTTCTGATTATTGACACCGACTTGGTTCCACTTCAAACTCAATTATACTGCCAAGCCACTTTTTTTGTTTGGTTGGTTTTGCTTTTGTTTTTCTTGCATTTTTTTTTTTGTAAGCTGGAACTTTGGGAAAAGTGTTATTGCATTTCTTTCTCCCCCCGTGTCCTGAAAGTTACCAAAAATCTCACTTTAACAGATTATTTGTTCATTCATTCATTCATTTGAAAGACAGTGACAGAGAAGGACAAAGAGATCTTTCATCTACTCATTCTCTCCTCAAATGGCAACACTCATCAGGGCTGGGTTAGGCTAAAGGCAGGAGCAAGGAACTCTATCCAGTCCACCGGGATGGGTTCCAGGGGCCCAAGTATCTGTGCTACACTCTGCTGCTTGCCCAGGCACATGAGCAGGGAACCGGGTTGGAAGCAGAGCATCCAGAAATGGAACGCGTGTCGATATGGGATGCCATGTCCCAAGAGTCTGCTCAGCTTCACACCATGACGCCAGTCTTAGCAAGCATCTTACTGATTTCACCTTTAAAATTCATCTCCTCCTGGTATGGCCCCGTTTCATGGCTTATCGTACTCATTTTTCTATTATAATAATTATTGTATCATATCAGCCTAATTACCAGCAAATTAAATCATAGTGGTAATATATCAGCTTCTATTGTGATTTTTGGTATCATATTCATTTTTACTGAAACTTTGCATTAACATCTTCTACAAGTGTTGAATGAGGATATTACTGCTGCAGGGTTGGTTTCTCTGGTGACAAGCAAAAGCCCTAACTCTGTACTTTTTAACTGACAGCCTACAAAAATTTGGAGTCTGTTCCCTAAGCAGATAAGAACCACCCCTGCGTCTCGCACATCTCTGGCATCTCCACACTCCGCAGAAAACAGATGTTGGTAAATGCCAGAGATACACATGAACTTGCCCTCTGTGTGAGCACAGTAGCTTTTTCTCTGATGGAATTTATGGAGGTGCTCTCTACTGTAAACTTGCTACTCAGGTTTTCAGAAACACCTCTACCTCTACCCTCTCTCTCTCTCATAATTTTACACTCTTTCCTGAACTTCCCATACTCATCTTTGAGAAGCTGGAGGTTGCCAACCTGGGAACCACCAGAAAAAAAATTTCATTTTCCTTCTTTCTACATTCACTACTGGTTCCTAAGGATGTATATCAGGGCCTGGCACGATGGCGCAGTGGTTAAGGTCCTTGCCTTGCACGCCCGGGATCCCATATGGGCACCGGTTCTAGTCCCGGCGGCCCCGCTTCCCATCCAGCTCCCTGCCTGTGGCCTGGGAAAGCAGTCGAGGACAGCCCAAAGCTTTGGGAACCTGCACCCGCGTGGGAGACCCGGAAGAAGCTCCTGGCTTTGGACCGGCATAGCATCAGCCGTTGCTCTCACTTAGGGAGTGAATCATCGGACGGAAGATCTTCCTCTCTGTCTCTCCTCTCTGTATATCTACCTTTCCAATAAAAATAAAATAAATCTTTAAAAAAAAAATGATGTATAGCAGATTTCACTGAAGAGCTCATCATACTTCACCAATAAGATTATTCTAAAAACCGGCTTCTCTTGCCACATCTACAGCAGCCATGGCCACAGATGGCAAATGCAAAGCAAACATGACAAGAAGGCAGTCAGGGGAGGACTGGCCGCCAAGGGGTCAGTTCTTCGAGGTGCTCACTTGGTCAGGTGGCCAGTGTAGTGCTTGCAACAGCAGTCGTTGACAAGATCACAGTCCTGTCTGGAACAGATGGAAATGGAAGGTCACCTTGGTCGATCATGGGACACAGCACTCCATAAACGACACCCAGGATTCACCCCAAGGAAAATCATTGTCAGTTTTACTCTATTCCATTCAGACTTTTTTGTGAGTTTCTAAACAGGACCTTCGGTAGAAAGAACCCTGTTTACAAGGGGCCTTCTGCCACCTCTGACAAAAACTGCCAGAGAGAATTTAAGGTGATCACGTATGAGTCTTTCAAGCAGACAATGTGTAGGAATCAGCCCTGAAATGCTGTAACTAAAGTCACAAACTCAAAATATAAATGATTTACCTTCTAAATGCAATAAATTGTGATGTCTTTGCACTTGCAAAGTCCTTTTCTTGCAGTAAGGCTTTAACTGCAGAATATAGATCTGGAAAGAGGAAACAAATTAACACAAGAAGCATCAGTTACCAATGGAAAAATTAATTCCCCCAAAGAGCCGTGGCACCACGTGGAATACAAGTCGGTAGCAGCCATGACACTCACACGTGGAGGGCCAGCAGGGTCAGACAGCTCGGAAACCCTACCCTCAACAGACGGGTCAAACCCTGGCCAGGGCGGCTGCTGATTCGTAATTCACTCATAAACTACAAACGCTAAAGAAATGAGCAAGAGTATGATGCGTGTAACAGAATCATCCACTTTTAGCTCCCAAAGTAGTAGCGGTGTTGGTGTTGAAAGATGAGCAGCCAGAGGCTCGTCACACCCACAGGAGACGGGGACCGAGAGGTGACATTCAGATAGTACACATGTCTAAAACATGATGACAGCCCGCTGCCTGACAACACCTGGCCAGGCTAGCGCAGGAGTTTCCAGAAGTTTCCCACACAATGTGTTGTTTCGCACGCGCTGGGTCACACTGTTCAGGACCTATTGCTGTTGTTTTCACGCTACCTTACACATTAATATGCACACCAAATTTCACTGATGCTAGGATTTATATTTCCATATTCCTTAAGTCACAGCCTACTATGAATACTTTTTAGGTCTTTGTATTTAGAAAAAAAGTGAGTAAAGTTTACTCAACAACTTGCTTCATTATTATTGAAAAATTGCAACATGCCTCTTTAAAAAAAAAAAAAGAGACTAATTGTCCACAAGCTTTAAATTAAGATAGAAAACAACAATTAAGCTCTGCTACCATTCTGAATTAAAAAAATTTTTTAAAGTATATTGTCATTAAGGTAAAAATGAGTACTAAAATTAAACAGTTTAGGTAGATCTTAAGAGAATGCCAACGAGAATTACTTAACCATTTAAACCTCAATTTTTTCCTCTGTAATGAAAACTATTATGACAATTAGCAACTGTTGGCGATCTAAATCATAAAAAAGAAATCAAAAAATTATCTACAGCTCATGTTAGAATTAACCTGAGATAAATAACGCATGTTTGTAAATGGCTACATAAAGATTTAAAAGAATAAACATCAGGCTTTGAGTGTATGTCACGGATTTGTCCTGAAGTAAAGGGAGAACGAATTACAGGCAAATATTAATGGCTACGTCAAATACTCCCATGTCATTTGGTTTTTCAAAGGAACAGATGTCATTTCCATAATGAAGGTATGACATAAACAACAGTGCATCATATCAATTTGGTGGCACAAGGAAGGAAACGCTTAGGGACGCTGTTGAACGCCACAACTTTAAACTCAGCAGTGGAAGTGGCAAGCAGCCAGATGGGAAACAATAGGCCCTGGAGAAACGAGGTAACTACAATTAATCCTCAATGGTAATCATTTAAATCTTTGCTACCTCAATTCTCAGTGAGCCATTACATTGCTTTTTTAAAGTTTGATCAGTTTATAACACAAATAAAGATTAACAGGAGTTCATCTATTTAAGTAAATTAAGTTGTAACAGCTATTTAATAACATCTATTATTCCCAAGAAATTAACAATTACATAACAGTTTGTATTTAATGAATGCCTTCCAATCTCACAAGGCAAAGCCACTAAGATTCACATCTTACAGAGGAGTTACGTGCATGACATGCGATGTGCTCACATCCTGCTCCCTTCTCCACTCTGTCAGGTTGTCATCCTACCACCCAGAACTAGACAGCACTTGTCCATTTTATAAACCAGAACTGTTATAAACTCAACATGACAATTTGGCATCCATTGTTTTTGTCTCATGGATGCACTGAAAGCAAAAGTACTTGGTCTTCTAATTGCTCAGGAAAAAAACATTTCACTAAGATTTGTTTTCTTCTAATTGAACCTGGATTACTGGGGCTTTGCATTATTTTAAAGCAAATCATTAACATCCAATTATTCACTCAATAAATGCTGGATCTTTGCTATGTATGTTAAGAGTTTACTCCTTTACAAGGAAGGTGATCTTTGGGACAAAAAGTTAATTTATTTTTGGTGCCTGATTTTCATTTAGCAATAGGTAACTTTGCCATCACAAAATTGCAACTAGTCATTTAATCACTTATTACAAAACTGAAGCACACCTAAGCCTACACATCACACAGGTTTCTACTTACAAGAATGGTGGCTACTTCTAGATAACTGAGAGCAGCCATCTTCTTCTGGGAGTTTGACAAAAATGAATGTCTTGTGTTGCATGGAGATAGGGAACGTGGGATTATCCGTAACAGGTACTGCTGCATCGAAATTTGGAAATTGGCGTCTTGAGATTCTTGAATAAAAATACATACACCAAAACATTACCATTGAAAAATGTCTTCATAGATGAGCAGAGCTAATGTCCTTACAATAAATAACATCTTAATAGATAATTAATAGGAAGAAAAGACCACCCAGACATGCATTATAAACAGCATATGAACAGTATTAAAGACCATAAAAGACCATTTAAGATCAAGGCACTATATTTAGTCATCTGTCCCTAGTTGATTGAAAGCATCATGGGGGGAAAATGATCCGGGGATTTACAAAGCAACTCTGACAACTTGTCTTCCCTCTCTCCAAACCAAAAAGAACCACACGAGGCAGGTATCATCATCCCATTTCACCTGAGCAAGCAGGTGTGCAAGTCCAGGGGTTACCAAAGGTCACACAAGAAAGCAGGGAGAGGGGAAGCAAACATAAGCCTAAGGGTTCAATACTCCTTTCCATCTGCATTCATTTTAACTAGTCAGGGCCTTTTCCATACACTGACAGCACAAGATATATTACATCCATGCTCCAATCTTCCAAAACAGGTCCGAGTAAGCACATCTATTTGTTTCTACTGCCTCGTCATCCTTCTTTCACTTTTATATTCCCAGATCAGCAAATCACATCAGAAAACAGGACGGCACTGAGGCCTGGTCACAGCACAGCTTCTTCTCCTCATTATCTGGAAGAAGACGGACTTCCCACACAGACCTACCACATGCCTGGCGACCAGGGAGGGCTGTGCCCAACCGCGTCATCTCCAACACTTCCCAAGCAAGAGATAAAAGAAGGGAGACTGGGGAGAATGTGGATATCCCAGGCTTCATCTTTGGGGATCTTAAGATTAACTTCAACCAACCCCTGCTTTGCTTCTGACTGGGAATCTGCACTACAGTCTCTGCAAACTGCCATGGCATCTCACACGGAACCTGCACAGTCAGCGACTAACGCTCCTCCCGCATCCTGACACCCAGTCGTGGGTGCAGGGGGACATCGAGAAAGGCGTTACATGTCCTAGTTTCAGCTGACATCCAGTGAAGGGGGTGCTCAGACAAAAACATTTGTTTAGAGACAGTCAAACTCAAAGGTAATTTTTAACCTGAAGAATGAAACAGTTTCTTGGTATTCCAATGTCCCCTAACATCCAGACATTTCAATATTTGCATAAAGGTCAAAAAAAGCAGCATTTACAGTTTACTAATAAATGGATTTTATTAAAAGCAAATGCCTGCACCAGTTGGGGATCACAAAAATTGACAAAAACTGAGGGGAAAACGATGGTTTCTTTTCCACTTTAAGGGGAATACATCTGTACCATCAACCAGACATGAAGTATCTCATTTAGTTTTTGTGCTTTTGACTTTGTCCTAAGAACATTAAGGAAAATTGCATTCCCAGTTCTCCCTTGAATTCAAACAAATGCCATTTCCAAGTCTCTCTTCTGCTTGGATTTACTGCAATCTCTCAGTTTAATCCAACTTTAATCCATATGCTGTTGTCCACAGCACCTGCTGGACTGGAGGATCCAGGATCCCCACAGCTACCAGCGTTCACAGATGCTCAACTCTCACACAAAACGATGCGGCCTTTGCCTGTAACAGGCACATCCTCCCCGCGCTTGAAATCATCTAGAGGTTACAAACAATCTCTAATACAATGTAAATGATTTGTGAATGGTTGCCAAACTGTATTGCTTATGAAATAATGACAAGAAAAAGGTATATAGATGTTCAAAACAGACATTTTTTTTCCAAATATTTTCAACCTTAGGTGAATGCAGAACTTGGGGACACAAGGGGCTCCTATGTACACGTTTTAAGAAAATGCATCCATCTTTAATTAGCTGATATTAGCTGATACTCAGCCAGAAATTTAAAAAAAAAAAAACACTATTTGATTTTTCTAACTGTGGACATAGGTATATAGTTTAAGGATAGAATGTATTTATTAAAATATACAATACACATTCTAACTTGAAAGCTAATACTTGTTGCTATCAATTTCTAATACAACAGGGAAGAGATGCACATTTCAGTTAGCTTACCTTGTAGCGTTGTCCACGATTAGCTGAGATTCTGCTCTGTGGTTCGTCTTCAGCTCAATAGCACAATTTCTTGGCTTCAGAGTCTCAAAAATGTCTTTCAGCAAGTTACCAGGTTCAATACTGGGTAACTGCCTGACATCACCTAAGAGGAAAAACACAGACTTAGCAGGTTTTAAATAACTAGAAATCTACAAATTAGAATTATTGTATGTATATTCATATTTATTTCTCCTCTTCAAAGGGTACTGCCATTACAGACTTAGAGAAAAAAAAAGACCAAAATATCTGTGAAACTATTTTAAAACGTATTTATCTAATTCCTAACAATTATTTAGCTAAAAATTCACGTTATACAGTATAAGACATAGAAATAACAGTAATAGCACAATAAGGTAACAAGTCTAAACTGAGATCTATTTTAAACAATATATCCACAAAACAGACCTTAAATAGCTTCTTGAAGCCGTTTACTCAATCTGGCTCAATATTTTACTGAACACCAAAGAATCTATAGCATCAAATACATAAAACAACTACATAAAATTTAAATTAACTAAATGCATTGGGTAGCAAATCCCAGTAACCTAATGACAACGTTTTGCACCATTAAACGTCTTTGCTGTGGAAGTCACTCAGCACGGTGGCCAGTTCTCCACTTCGAGTATCCACATTCCATGCTCGAGTTCCCGGAGTGCCAGTCCTGCTTCAGGTGTCACTAACGTGTACTCTGGGAGACAGCAGCTGGCGACGCCCTGCTACCCACACCAGACACTCACAGTACTTCCCAGCTCTGGACTTCCGCCTCGGCCAGCCCAGGCTGCTGCAGGAATCGAGGGAGTGAATCAGCACACAGATTTCCATCTCTGCGTGTCTTTCAGATAAAATAAATACCATTTTTTTCTTTGCTTGAAATAAACAAAAAACCCCAGAGACCAAACAAGTCCCAATGAGTGACAATACTCAAGCTATTAATAACATCGATTGCTTATAAAATATTCTGAAAGATTTGAAAAGTAGTATTTATATACAATTTCAATCCTCAAATTGCAATTTTATTTTTTCTCCATTACACCCCATGGTTTCCAGGCCATGACAACCCAACAAAACCTGACAGAATCTCCTCATAATCTCATCTAGCAATTTTGTCTCCCCACGTTAGATACATCCTGATTTACTCTGTTCCTAACAGCAGGACTCTTTAATAACCGTCCTTTTGGTGATCAGCAGTCAACTTTCAGAGGTGGTCTCACCCACATCCTCGCATGCCAGCTGGGTGCCAGCCAGTGGAGTCCCCTTACGGGCCCTGAGCAATGCTTCTCTGCCTTTAGAAATGGTGCCATGATACGGAATGCACAATCTATGAACTATGTGCTCTGAATTAAATATCAGAATCGCAACAAGATTTTCACTTACCAAGGATAATAAGTTTAGACAGTTTGGAATGCTCACACAATAAATTTAAAACTGACTTGAAGATTCCTACAGACACCAAACTCCCTTCATCCACAACCAGAACTCTAACAGACGAAAATTTCCATGGCTTATTTTTGGATACCGAATCTTTCTTCCATAAATAGTAGCTGTAATTGACCTAAAAGCAAAGCATGGCAGGTTAAGAAAATTTTAATGCAAAACTTTTAGATGAGAGATCAGGAAAGAGAGAGAAACACAGAGGGGAAAGGCTAGGGCAGAGAACTTACAAGTTATCGGGGTAATTGCAAGAGGCAGATTAAATAAGCAGACCAAAACATCGCTTCCCAGAGAGAAGTATATTTAATGAGCTTCACACATAACACCCTTCACTTTTTTCATCATCTGTGACCAAAGAGACCTTGCTATTTTCTCCTACTTACAAATACACTTTTTTTTTTTTTTTGGCTTCTGAAATATCCTCTTCTCCCAATTATATGACTCCATTTGGGAAACAGAAGGCTGATTTCTCAACCTGAGAAAAGACTACTCTTTCTTTCAACTATTTTAAACTTCCTTGCCACCTCAAAATTTTAAAGCCACTATCCTGGGCAGTGATCCATGCCAGCCACCAAGACGCAGCTTTGCAAGTTTGTATGCCAAATCAGTGTGTCTGAGGTTACGTCCTGCCAGCTTTCAGTTCCAGCCAACGGATGCCCTGGACGACAGCAGGTGGCAGCAGGTCACTGGGTCCACATCACTGCCATGGGAAACCCAGACCGAGTCCTGGCTCTCGCTTCGGGCTGGCCCAGCCCTAGCTGCCGGGGGAATTCAGAGTAATGCAGCAAGTCAGAGCTCTCTCATCTGTCTCTCTGTCTCTCAAATAAACAAGATAAACAAAAACTTCAAGCAAACAAACCACCAAAATAACAACAGCTCTTTATTACAGAGATAACACAATTTATTATCATAATTATTTCAAAGATTTATTTTACTTTTACTGGAAAGGCAGATTTAAAGAGAGAAAGATCTTTCATCAGCTGGTTCACTCCGCAAGTAGAAGCAATGGGCAGAGCTGAGCCGATTTGAGGCCAGGAGCCAGAAGCCAGATGCAGGGTTCCTAAGCTTTGGGCTGTCCTCTACTGCTTTCCCAGGCCACAGACAGGGAGTAGATGGATGGGAAGTAGAGAAGCCAGAAAACAAACCAGCACCCATATGGGATCCCAGCTCTTGCAAGCAATAGCCACTAGGCTATTGCACTGGGCCCATAATTTGTTATTTTTAAGATATAAATTAGAAAAGCATTAGCTATAAAACTTTAGCTAGAGAATATTAGGCATTCTAGAGTGCATCATTCCAGAAATGCTTCCTCGTGGTTTGGACATATCTACTTCCATATACAGAGACAGACAGATGTGTGTATCCACAGATTGTTAGTGGTAGTATAATATCCTCATTTAAGTTTTCAACACATCTCTTAAGTAAAGCCTTCATATTTCCCACCCAAATACACCAATTCTCTTCAACAAAATCTCCAAGTCTCTCTGAATCCTTGTCTTACAACAGAACATGTGGAATTGCCTGTTTCCTTTTGCTTATCTCAGAAATGCTGGACCGACACGTCCCAGTGTGCTTCTAGTGCTCTCAGCTAAATAAAGACCCTCTCCGAGGACCTCGGTCACTCGACTAGCTTCTTAGCCTGATCTCACCACACACCGAGTCCAAAACGGATTGCCAAATACAACACAGGACAAGAGGAGAGAGTTCTGGGGCATGGGTGGCAGCCAGCCAGTTGGTCGCTGAGCAGCGCCCGTTAACTACTCCAAGGAGGAAGTCTCCACGCGCTCAGCCACTAGCAGTTTCACTCCACCCTGCAGGGCTGACTGGGACTGAGCACTGGCGGGGCTGGAGCAGGCAGGCTGCATTGCTTTGCTTTCTTCCCCTGCCCTGCCTGTGGACAGCATCACGCTTGGCGTCGAAAAGCCATCCAGCGCGCCTCTATTCTGCGCCTTCCAGGACACTTGTGTGAGGCAAAGGAGAGAGCTTTGTACCCGGCAGTGATGGCAGTTCGGGGGCATTAGCACCAGCACTGCATCCACACACCACACGTGAGCAAGAAGTCACCTGAGCTTCCAGAGGCTAACGCCGGAGGCAGACCGTCAGACGATTCATTCCCACTCCGGGAGATCTGGGTGGTGACCCCACTACTCCTGTGACACCAGGACGGTAACAATCTGTCCTGCATTTAACGATGCCACTGGAACCCATCCAGTACGCATAGCAAGGAATGTAGCTGTATTTTACCTCTCTATGCCCGTATCCTACAGAGTAAAATCTCCAGTACATCTGGTGGTTTTCCTGTAGAGTTGGAATATAGTTCATAAGTCCTCTAGTCACAGGATTCAGACGACTGGTGTTACAGGCCACAGCACCAGCTGGACTCTCCTGGTGGGACATGAGGAGGGGTTTCTCCGTATCGCAGTGTCCTAGGGCAAAGACCTTTGGTGCCAAGAGCTCTGACGATACCCAGGCTTGCGAGCAGAACAGGGAAGCGAGCAGAACAGGGAAGCAAGCAGCCTTGCCCCCAACCCCACTCAGTGAGGCAAACTCGGCAAGCTAGGGACACACACACAGGGGGTCCAAGCACCATCTCAAAACCACACTTCTTTCCCTACAAACTGCAGCAGACTAAGCCCCAGTGTCACAGATCACAGATCACACGGATTAAGACAAAAATCATTCAGAGATTACACTCTTGGGATCACCTAGAACCAAAGCAGTAAGCTAAATGACATCTTGTATTTCAGCTAGACTATAAACTTTTTTTGTAATTTATCTTTTTTATTGTAAAGGGAGACTTACAAAAAGGAAAGAGAGAGAGAGATGATTGATTGATTCCATCCATTGGTTCACACCCCAAATGGCTGCACCTGCTGGAGCTGAGCTGCTTCAAAGCCAGGGCTGAGAGTTTCTTCCAGATCTCCCACTTGGACATAGGAAGCCATGAACTTGAACCCTACTCCACTGCTTTGCTAGGCCACAATCAGGGAGCTAGATCAGAGGTGGAACAGCCAGGACACAAACCAGTGCCCAGAAGGACACTGGGACTTACAGGAAGAGGATTAACTACTTGAGCATGCTAGCCCTTACACCAAAAACCCTTTTACCATTAAACCTACTCCATAAAAAGAAGGGTCATGGGGCTGGTGCAGTGGTCAAACATGCCAATCCACCACCCACAGCGCCTGCATCCCACATGGGCAGCAGTTTTAGTCCCAACTGTTCCACTTCTGATCCAGCTCCCTGCTGGTGGCCTGGGAAGGTGATGGAGGATGGCCCAGGCCCTTGGGAATCTGAACCCAAGGCAGCTCAGCTCCTGCCATTGCAGTCATTTGGGGAGGGAATCAGCAGACGGAAGATCTCTCTTTCCGTTTCTCCTTCTCCCTGTAAATTTGTCAAACAAACATAAAAAGGAGGAGGAGGGGGGGAAGAGCCAGGTGCGCCGCCATGTTCATCCAGGTAGGCTGCTTCACCTGTGGCAAGATCGTGGGCAATGAGGAGGATGCCCAGCTGGGGCTGCCGCAGGCCTGGCACTCCGAGGGGGATGCCCGGCATGCCCTGGGCCTGAAGCGCTACAGCTGCCACCACATGCTGCTGTCCCATGTGGCCCTGCCCAACCACGACTGAGACGCTGCTCAAGCATGTGCCCTTGGACAGGTGACTACCGGCCGGGGCCCCTGCTGTGCCCGGACATGGCCCGTCCACATCCTGCCTGGGCCCCTGCTGTGCCCGGACATGGCCCGTCCACATCCTGCCTGGGCCCCTGCTGTGCCCGGACATGGCCCGTCCACACCCTGCCTGGAGCTCTCCCCGGGAGGGGTGGGGGGACACCGGTCCCCATGGGCACTGGGTCACCCGAGACACATGCTGCCCAATGAGGTATCTGTAGAAAAAAAAAAAGGAGGGGGGAGGAAATTTGAGATGAAACATTTAATCCTTTAATCCATGAAATTGACAAAATGATGGAGCTTTAACAGCAAAATAGATCAAGGAAAGAATTTCTGACCTTGAGGATAAGAATTTTGAGATAACCCAGAGAAAAATAAACAAGATATACACAAAATGAGACATCATTTTAAAATGTTCATATTACACGTATTACTGAAGGAGAAGGCGGCATTGAGAATCTTTTAAATGAAATAACACTCGAGGCCCAGCGCAAAGGTCCAGCTGTTAAGATAGCACCATCTGGGCCCGGCACGGTAGCCTAGTGGCTAAAGCCCACCTTGCATGCGCCAGGATTCCATATGGGTGCCAGTTCATGTCCTGGCTGCTCCAGCTCCCATCCAGCTCCCTGCTCTTGGCCTGGGAAAGCAGTGAAGGATGGCCCAAGGCCTTGCAATCCTGCAACCATGTGGGAGACTGAGAAAGGTTCTGGCTCCTGGCTTCAGAAGGCCTCAGGGATTGTGGCCACTGGAGGAGTGAACCAGCAGATGAAAGATGTTTCTGTAAGTCTGCCTTGCCAAGAAAACTTTTTAAAAAAAGGAAAACAGTTAAAAATTCCCCAGGTCTTGAAGCGAACATGGACATATCAACACAAATAGCTCAAAGAGCCCCAACCAGGCTCAAAAAAAAAAGTCTTCTCCAAAACATATCAACAAACTGTGAAATGTTAAAGGAGAGAATCGTAAAGACAGCACAGATACAGCATCTCAGCTGTGCACGAGAGAAATGCCAGCGTAGCTTGAGGATTCTCCAGCCAGGTTTCTCTTCAGAAACCATACAGGTTATAAGAGAATGGAAACAGAGTCCGGGTCCTAAAAGACAAACTAACTTTTATCTTTAAGGATAAAAGATAGAAACCAGAACTCTATCGAGCAAAGTGCTTATTGATAAATAGTGCAACATTAAGGACCTTCCAAAACAAATTCAAAGAGTTTCCACCACCCATTTAGCCTTACAATGCTGCTTAAGGATGCACCACACACAGAAATGGGCAATGATAACCACCATGATGAAAGAACATGAAGAGAAAAAAATCTCCTAGTAAAAGCACAAAGGAAATTCAAAGCAAACAATGAAAACCTTTATGGAAAAAATAAGACCTACTCATAACTTTTCAGTAATAACCCTGAATACAAATGGCAAATTCTCCATTCAAAAGGTACAAATTGGCTGAATGATTTTTAAAAACAGGACTCATCTAATTGCTGCCTAAAAGGAACAAACCTCACCAAAAATATATACATAAACTGAAGGTTAAAGGATGGAAAAAGATATCCTAAGCCACCAAAAGCTAGCAATTCTAGTATTAGATAAAAACTTTAACACAGAGTTAAAGGAGACAGGGAAGGCCATTCCATAACAACTATGCAATCAGGTCAACAAGATGCCTGCAGTTTATGTGCATGCACACAACGCCAGGGCGTCTGGCTGTTTGAAACAAGTGTAAATCAATCTAAACAGACACGGACTCTAAGACAATAATAGTGGGGGCCTTCAGCACCCCACCTTCATCAATGCACAGGGCAACTAGACAGAAAACCAACAAGTACATGATACAACTAAGCTATGCTTACGGGCCAGATAGACCTAATACATCATTCCACAAACTCTAGAACAGACTATGCTAAGCCATAGAGCAAGCCCTGGCAAATCCAAAAAAACTGAAACCATACTATGTATCTTGGTAGGATCAATAGAATCAAAATGTCAGTATTAACAAAAGCAATTTACAGATACAGTGCAATCCCAATACCCATAAAATTCTTCTGAGATCTAGAAAAAAAATAGTGAAATGCATAAGGAATCACAATAAAAATCCCAGATAAGAACCCACACATCTACAGCCAACTAACTTTGCTTTCTTCTAAATTTTATTTTTACTTTTATGGTGCAATTCCATAGGTTCAAACTAATTTTTAACAAGCTGAAATCAATCCAGATAGAGGGGAGGATCTCATCAATAAATGATATTGGGAAAATTGGATCTAGTAAGAAACCTTTGACACCTTAACCTTTTACAAAAATCAACACTAAATGGACCATGAGTATATAAAGCACAGCCGGAAACCATTGAATTACTAGAGAAAAATATCATGACATTCTGATGACACAGAAAAGACTCCCAGGTGCACAGGTAGTCAAACAAATGGGATTACATCAAACTAAGAAGCTTCAGTACGGCGAACTGCTCACAAAGTGAAGAAACAGCCAATAGAACAGGAGAAAATATTTGCACAGTTTGCAACCAATAGAGGATATTCAGAATCTATATAGCTCTCCAGAAACTCAACAACAGTCAAGAAATAGGCAAACAACATGAAAAGGCATTTCTCAAATTCAAACTGCTAACGGACATAGGAAAAAAATGCTCAAGTTCATGAGTCATCAGGAAACTGTGCGCTCACTTGGGGAGTGAATCATCAGACGGATCTTCCTTTCTGTGTCTCCTCCTCTCTGTATATCTGCCTTTCCAATAAAAATAACTCTTAAAAAAAAAAAAAAAACAACAATGAGGCTTCATCTCATCCCAGTTAGAATGGGTGTCATCCGGACCCAGTGCCGTGTCGCCTAGCGGCTAAAGTCCTTGCCTTAAACGCACCAGGATCCCATATGGGCGCCGGTTCTAATCCCGGCAGCCCTACTTCCAATCCAACTTCCTGCCTGTGACCTTGGAAAGCAGTTGAGGACGGCCTAAAGCCTTGGGACCCTGCATGTGACCCAGAAGAGCTCCTGGCTTCGGACTGACTCAGCTCCAGCCGTTGCGGCCACTTGGGGAGTGAATCATCGGACGGAAGATCTTCCTCTCTGTCTCTCCTCCTCTCTGTATATATCTGACTTTGCAAAAAAAAAAAAAAGTAAATTTTTACTGCTACATTGTAATGATCTGTGATTATAATCTACATATGGATGAAATAGTCACTTTTTACTCAATTCATAGCTGTCCTCTGAATTCTAAACTTTGCTTTTCACTTATCATTCAGTGAAATATTAAGCCTTTTTACTTCAATGTAAATGCAAAATGTTATCTCAAAAGTTAAAAGAATGAGAGAAAAAGGGAAGGGTGGGAAGAAAGGAAAGAATGAAGGGGAAGCCATTGTGTTCTTAGAATTGTATCTCATCTGCTAAATATTGAAAATGAAAACTATTTCCTAGAAAAATACCTAAATAACAGATGATTTTGCACAGATTTGCTTCCTGACACTAGTTCCTTTCTCATTTCGAACCAGAGCCAGAGTCCAGGCTGGAGATTCGGACTAATGTGCTCTACATGACGAGGTACCACAAAGCAGGAACTAGCAAGTATTCAACAGATCCTGTCGTCTCCCCTTTCTTTCAGGGGTGCTGGTCCAAAACCCATATGGATGTTACAGCCAGTCTAACAACCCAGGTGGCTACTAACTGACCCCCGGGAGGGACGTGTGTACATCACTATATACTGCAAAGAGGGAAAATTCTTACTCAGGACAGCACAAGAATTCATCATACTATTCAGAACCGGCAATTCATGTTTTGCTTATTCCTAGAATTTTCTATGAAAAATTTTCAGACTCCAGTTAACTGCAATCAGCAAATGAAACCTCAGACAGCAACACCGGGTAATGATGTAAGGAGCAGTGATGTAAGGAGAAAGTCTGTCTTCAAGTCAAGCATTTCATCTACAGGACTGAATGTCAAAGGTTTTTACCTGATACAGGGTGTAAGCAGGAAGACCAGTTTTCTCTCTGAGTAAGCCCGTCGCCTTCCCCGTAGGTGCCGTGAGCAAAACTTCTATAGCCTTGTCTGCCTTTTGCTGACTTTCCTCAGTAAATGTATTCCATTCTTCTGGGACACCCTGATCTTGCTCAAAATCTTTACAAGCATTTTTTACTTCTCTTTCTTCCAGCTGCTCTATATACTTAAAAAGACGGCTAACAATTGTGGTCTTCCCACAGCCACCTTTCCCACTTATGACTGTCACAGCGTTGGAGCAAATCATTTCCAAAGCAGCCACTTGATCCGGATCCAGATGAGCCTCGTTTGCGTCTACACTAACGTCATCTTCACCATCATTCCCAATGCAGCAATCACTGTCCTGTCTGCCCGCTGTGTCCACAGAACTTTCCAGTCGTGTGTCATCAGGTTTGCTTTCATCTGTTGCATCATCACGTTCAGCATCCTCAGGTTTGATGGTGTGAATAGATGCAAGGACCTTCTTGACGTCGACATCTAAACACCATGGAGGTCTCTTCATCAGCTCACATATGGAGGAGGCAATGCCCTTTTCCGCCTGGTAAAGGTCATAAAGAAAGACACGGCCTTTCTCAAGGATCACCACGCCGATATCCTTCAAAAACTTCAGAGACTCCCAAACATCCTGAAAAGACATCTGCTTTGACAATTCCAGGTTTAAACCAGCTTCTTCCACACACGTGTGCCCGTGTTCTTGACATATCTGCTTCAGCTTAGAGTATATGATCAATGCGTTCTTCTGCAAATCAGTCATCAGCCGAAGAAGAGGGCTGCACTGACGAAATGCCATCCAACTTGCCTCACACTGCACAAGCCTCAATTCCAGGTAGGTTATCTTTAAAAAAAAAAAAAAAAGCCAATTTGACATATTTGTAAATGTTGGTGGGTGTTATTAGAATTGCATTCAAAATTACCTTATTTGATAACAATGCTTTTAAAGGTTTGTTAATTTGTTCGAAAGGAAGAGTGGGACAATGAGTTTTTCCATCTGTTGGATCACTCCCCAAATGGCTGCAACGGTTGGGGTTGGGTCAGGTGATTAGCAAGAGTTGAATTAGAAGTGGTGAAGTTGGGGCGTGAGTGGCACCCAAATAGGATGCTGGCATCGCAAGCAGCAGTTTAATCCATTGTACCACAATGCCGGCCCCAATAAAAATTAAATTCCACAAGGTAAGTATTGCAACTACACTTAGGGAGAAAAACTACATGCCTAAACACACCCACATTTTTCAGTTTGTTGCACTATGATAGAGATCTACAAAAATTTGAAACTATATTTTATTAAAGCAATAGGTTTTTTTTAATATTTATTTTTGCTTATGTGAAAGCCACAGTGACAAAAGGGGCTGCGGGGGGCGGGGGGAGACGTGGAGAAAGAGATTTTTCCATTTGCTGATTCACTCCCCAATGACCAGAATAGCTAATGCAAGGCCAGGTTGATACCAGGAGCCAGGAACTCTATCCTGGGTAGCAGGAACTCAAGTGTTTGGACCGCCTTGCACTGCTTCCCTGGGAGGATGAACAGGGAGGCGGATCGCAAGTGAAAACAGCTGACGACTAGAACTGAAGCAGTACTCCAATACACGATGCCAGCTTCCCAAGCACTAGCTCAAACTGCTGTCACACTGCCAGCCCCTACCTGTAAGTTTAAAAGTCAAATAACAGATGTGGGCATTAGGGCCAGCGGTTGAGACACCAGTTAGGCAGAACATGTCCTACACTGAAGTACCCAGGGTGGCGTCCTGACTCTACTCCAGACCCCAGCTTCCTGCTAATACAGATCCTGGGAGGAGGCGGGCGATGAGCTGAAGTGGTTGTGCTGCTCCTATGTGACACCTGGGCTGGGTTTCTAGCTTCCAGTTGTAGCCTGACCCAACTCCAGCTGGTGTGAGCGTTCGAGGGGATGGAACAGTTTCTCTCTACCTCTCGCTGCAAAAATTTAAAAATGAAACAGTTAAATAGCACAAGGCTTACCATAAAGAAGAACCTCATGCTTAATCCTTTTCCAGCCCTTCTACAGCCACCATTTTAACACTTCAGTTATTTCTTTCAGAATCTATCTTATTTCAAAATACTGTTTATACCATTCCTCGTTAAAAACAAAACAAAAAAAATTAAATCCTGATTATCAACTCCCAAATTATGGGAGTCTTTCCCTATGAAATTGCTCTTCCTCTCTCTTTTTAAAGATTTTATTTTTATTGAAAAGGCAGATTGACAGAGAATAGGATAAAGAAAGACATTCCATCTGCTGATTCACCCCCAGCTGGCTGCAATCCCTCCAGCTGAGCCAATCCAAAGCCAGCACTCTTCCAGGTCTCCCACACGGGTACAGGGCTCCAAGGCTTTGGGCCATCCTCTGCTGCTTTCCATGGTCACAAGCAAGGAGCTGGATGGGAAGTGGAGCAGCCTGGACACAAACTGGAGTGCCCAGTGCATGCAAGGTAAGGCCACTGAGCCAGTGCACCGGGCCCACATCATTTCCTATCACTTTGACACGTTTCTCCTCCACCCATCTTGTGTGTGTGCATGAATATATATTTCTGCTAATCTGTTTTGGCTAGACAGGCACTTACTGTTCTTACATAAACAGGGTATCCGGTGACATGAAGAAACAAGTGTCACGATGAACAGTGACGATTTCTGTGCTAAATGTGGCATGCACCAGGAAATTCATGTCTGCCTATCTTTCTGGCTTGTTTAGCTTTCTAAGTGTCTATCAACAATTACACTCAAGGACTACAGGGTTTTTAAAGAGGTAATTAAGGCCAGGTGAGATTCTCACTTCATGGACGAGAGCACTCAGAGGGGCCTGCATCCAAGGTAAGCAATGTTTTCATACAGAGGAAGGAAGGACACAGCCGTCACTTTGCTGTACTAGTTCCCACTGACTAACTTGCTAACTTCATACTTGCATAAGCACCTGGCAAGCAGAGTTTATTTTCTACCACGAAAAGAACAATGCATCGACACTGAGGCCTACACAGAATTTCTCCCTCTTACAGAGATGCAAAAATGTTGAGGTTGTTCAACGCAAGATTGGTAATTGGTAAATGTTGAGCAAGTGTCTTACTTACTCTTCGAAATCCAAGCTTCCACGGATTGGAACCCAAAATCCCTTCTATCTTGTCCAACACTTCTTCTTTAGAGTGTGAGCTGATCAGCTGTTTAAAATGTCGAGGCAAAAGAACTGGAAGGAATTCCATTATTTTTGGAAACTGCAATCCTATCATCATATATTTATAGGGATCTACAAGATATCACCAGAAAATAAGATAAAATTAGCCCATAAGATGTCTGATAAGATTTTCTCAGCACAATTATCTCAAAAATTCAAATCAGATTAGTAAGTCTATTACAAAGGGAAATTGGTACTTTGACAATTATTTTCGAACACAACTGGTTTCCACTGAGTTTAACACTAAAAATATTATTTAAATGCTTACACAACAAGTTCTCAGTCTTTCGTTTTCACTTGCATTAAAAATTTTCAGAATACTATACAAACGTACATTTAAATTTCAGCATTAGCACATCATTTATATATTAACCTTTTAAATTGTTCTTTTTTTAAGATTTATTTTATTTTTATTGCAAAGTCAGATATACAGAGAGGAGGAGAAACAGAGAGGAAGATCTTCCATCTGATGATTCACTCCCCAAGTGACCCCAAAGGCTACTGCTGTGCTGATCCGAAGCCAGGAACCAGGAGCCTCTTCCAGGTCTCCCACATGGGTGCAGAGTCCCAAGGCTTTGGGCCATCCTTCACTGCTTTCCCAGGCCACAGGCAGGGAGCTGGATGGGAAGTGGAGCTGCTGGGATTAGAACTGGCACCTTTGTGGGATCCTGGCACATTCAAGGCGAGGACTTTAGACACGAGGCCACGACCCCGGGCCAAATTGTTTCTTCTGACTAGAACAGTTACTCCAGGGGCAAGTGTCCAGTGCATCAGCAAGGATGCCACTTGGGATGTGACAACTATATCAGAGGGCTGGGTTGGGGGCCTGGCTTTGCATCCAGTTCGACCTCACTGCTAATGTGCACCCTCGAAGGCTGTAAGCGGTGGTCCAGCTGCTCGGGTCCTTCCTTCCCTGCCTTCTTTATCATAATAAGCAACTGCCTAATGACTCCAGGTGATCCCCATAAATACAAAAGTTAGAGAAACAGAGTCACACTTTCAGACTTGGGAAGTTACCAAAGGAATCTTACTCAATCCTTTCACCACACTGCTTCTAATAAAATACATGCTAACATACAATACTCAATATTCTAAACAACCCAATCACTAAATGCCACAATTTCACTCAAACACAATGATAAAAAAAAAAAAAATCACACTTAACCTGTCCCTTCCACAGGAAGACACGGCTCGTGGTCGGGTGCTGGCTCTCCCTCTTCACTCTGCACAGGTGGGTTGTCTTCTTTCCTTTCCACTTTCCTCTCGAAAGTTCTAAGTTTTTCCGTAAGATTTTCAAAGTTTAAGTCTTCATAGCTTGAGTCTTCCTCTACCCACTTCAGAAATCTACCTATCTTATCACTGGTTACCTGACACTCAGTAAGGAAGAGGGAACATATTTCTTTTTGATTTGGTGGGGACATATCAGTCTGTAGGAAATAAGAAGGAAGTCCCTGAACTCTGTAGTTCGCTGACCCCACAGGCTTTGCCCGCACCTTCACCCTCCACCAAACACCTGTAATGGGAAAACGTCCAAACGCTTTACATTTCTCCTGTGTGCTTTCATTTAAAATTATAACTAAAAAGAGAGAGAAATAGAAAAAAGTTAGATATTTCAAACCCCAGCTCAGAGCCACTGCACTTCATGGCCCCCACTCCCTCCCCTGCCTTTCTGTGTACCTTCTACTCCACCATAAGCCCTCTACCACAGGACAGCCTTTCCATTCGTCGTTCTATTCCAAGGTGTAAGCACAGGACACGGAAGAGGTTTGCTGTTCCACCTCTAAAATCAGCTCGCTCGCTCGCTCTCTCTTTCTGCTACTCCAAGCTCGACTACTACTTTCCTTCAAGTGGGCTTTTAAAAATGCCCGGGGCCCTCCCAGCACGGGGCCGATTGCACAAGTCGCTCCACCTGGCTTAAAGGGGCTCCTAGATGTTTGCTGCATTTATTACAGAACTCAGCTTTGTTTTCCCGCTTGCAGGAACTTACCACCTTCTGAAGTTTAACTGCGAAGTAACACTGTAACTACTTCTGGGATACTTTGCTTTTAAATGGTAAGCTGGCCCAAGACAGCAAACCCTCCACAAATCACCTGCGCGTTTTTTTATTTAAACCTACACAGTCTAACTACACGTAGCTATTTAAACGTAACTTCAACTCTAGCCCCTCGGTCGCTCTAGCCTCCACGTGAGGCCAATGGCTGTTGTGCCGGTAAGAACAGAAACACAACACTGCCGTCAGTCCCCAAACCAGTCTGCACGTTACCCATAAATACCAGCCACAACGTGTGCAGAAGAAACTACACAACGTCAATACGAAGCGAAAGGTTCCCGAATCAACCAAGCATTGGCACGTGACTATGAGAACTTGAAAAGGAAAATGCTAAATCATTATGGATTTTGTTGACGAGCCCTCTGTTAGCAGCAACGGGACGCTCGCTCAAGAACAAGCAAAGTGAGACTCATTTCCTTCAAACCTCCAAGCCCTTCTCCCCGGGGTCCCGCGCTCCCTCACCGTGGACACCCCCGGGCAGGCTGCCAGGCTTCAAGCCTCCGCCGCAGAGCTCCTCGGCGTCCACAAAGCCCTGGTCCTCATCCTCCTCCGCCACCTCCAGCAGAAAATCATCGTCTACCTCGGCGAGGTCCTTGAGCGGCAGCAGAGGCCCCTGCAGTTCGCGCAGGTGCTGCCCATTCTTCCTGGCCATTTTCACCTGCCGGAGTTCAACCCAAACAATTCCAGGCGCATGGCGGGCACGGCCAATCAGCCTCGCGTCCCGGAGACTGGCCGCTTCCGGGCACGCCCCGGCACCGTGCGCCCCGCGCGCAGGGGCGGAGCGGCGGCCGAGCTCCGGCCGAGCTCCCGGCACCGGGCCGGGCGAAGGGCGAGGGCGGGCCGGGCCGCATCTCCGCCCAGTCCCCCGCAGCAGGACTATGAGACCCGCCTCCTGGGAGCTCCGGTGGCGCCAGTTCCAAAAGCGTATCCCACAGGGTCCACGAGGAGGAAAAACCGTGTCTGCTTTAAACTGCAAAAACGAAAGCGTAGCAGGCGCCCTTCGGAAGCACACAGTTCGCCCCCGCAAACACGGAGCAGTGAAGTTCCGATCCGGACACCACTCACCTTGGTAGCTCTGGGACTCTCAAGGATACAAGAGGGGAGGATGACCCAGAGCCTTAGCACCCTGCAAAGGCCTGGGAGATCCAGAAGGAGGTCCTGGCTTCAGATCAGCTCAGCTCTGGCCATTGCAGCCACTTGGGGAGTGAACCAGCAGATGGAAGATCTTTCTGTCTCTCCTCTCTGTGGGTCTGACTTTCCAATAAAAATAAAAATAATAATAATAATAATAAAATAAATCTTTAAAAATAATAAAATTTTTAAAATATTCACAAGCAAGTTTGAAGGGCCTCCCATTTAACCAAATTTAGGGAAATCTGAAGAGTCATGGCTGCACTTGACTATAATATGTTGAATTAATAAAGATTGATATCTCCAGTGTACATGATACATCCCAGCTTCTAATAAAAGTAAAGTACTTTAAAAAGTACTCACTAAAAAAAATAATAAGGAATGGCAGAAAAGTGCCCATTAATAAATTTATGAAGAAATTCTAAAGTGGAAAACACCATTTGTAACCCCTTCTGTAATACCTGATTGACCAGAATCAAAAAGCTGATCCCCCATCACCCAGGATCCTCGGTTCAAACAAGGATAAGGGACGATTCTAAACACACAGGAACTGATCACCTGGCGACAGCACATTACAAAACTGCAAAGGTTAACCCTGCCTATACGGCAGACACACAGGTAGGTAGCCCCTGCATCAGGGCACCAAACAGTGGGATTGACAATGGGACCCAGATAACGCGGTGTGTTCCCTGCTAAGATGCAGCAAGGTGTACAGCTACATAGTCAGCTGTGAAAGAGTTTTGGCAAAAAAAACAAAAAAACAAAAAAACAAAAAACTTGAACCTGATTAAGACTATAGAGCAGTATTTTGCAGTAGAAATATAATGTGTTCCTAGTTAAAAAAAAAAAGGATGTGATCCACACACGTAAATTTGCAACAAGATAAATGCAATTAGACATCATTGTGCTTAGTGAAATACAGCAATCCCCAGAGATAAATGCCATGCTTTTTTCCACACTTTTCACTATGTGGTAGCTAATACAGAGAGAACAAAATATGTGTAAGTGAAATTAACAACTTGGGATTTGACCCTTGTCTGTAGCCCATGTACATTTTTTTAAAAAAACTATTTTTACTGGAAAGGCAGAGATACAGAGAGGAGAAGAGACAGAGAAGAAGATCTCCCATCTGCTGATTTTACTCCCCAAGTAGTCACATCGAGCCAGAGCTGAGCTGATCTGAAGCCAGGAGCTTCCAGGAGCTTCTTCCAGGTCTCCCTTGTGGGTGCAGGGCCCCAAGACTTTGGGACATCCTCAACTGCTGTCTCAAGGCCACAGGCAGGGAGCTGGATGAGAAGTGGGGCCACCGGGACATGAACCGGCACCCATATGGGATCCCGGCACATGTAAGATGAGGACTTTAGCTGCTAGGCCACCGTGCTGAGCCTAGTGAGTGATTTCAAAGAGGGGTTCCTTCAAAAGTTAGCAGGACCTACATGCCGCTTTGCCTTTTCAATCCTTCTTCTCTCTCTTCCTGGAAGTCAAGGGTGACAAGCGGGAACTCCAGGAGTTGTTTTGGGTCATCAGGAGAAGTTGAGGATGACAGAGCCGAATTACAGCAGGGTTTCAGTGACTGTACGACTGCTGCTCTCACCCTGGAGCTGCCAACGTTGGCAGGAGACAAGAGACCCTTGTGCGTCCAAGCCACCATGACTGCCAGGCACACACAGTCCCTATTCCCTCCCAGGGGCTTTGCCTCTCTCCCTACCCATGTCTGTAGCCCATGTAGCTCATGAGAAACAGGGGTTGTTTCACTTTCTGCATGTTGAGTATTTTAGCATTTGGTGTAGCATGCATCTGGTGATTGTAAGTGAAATTGAAAGTACGTTATCATTAAAGTTAAAAGGAAAATAAGAAAGGTGAGAAGGAAGAGAGGCTGGGATGTATCATGACGTTGCTATCATTTCGTGTAAGAAATGCATAAGATATCTCTATATAAATAAATGCATTTAAAATTAGTTTTGAATTGCAATGAGCAAGCTGTAACTGTTTCTTTGAGGATTAAGGACTTATAAAATAAAAAAATACAATAAAATATTTTCATTACTCAAGAAAATGAAAAAAACAAAGATTTCTAGTGGCCACATTAAAAAGAGAGAGAGAGAGAGAGAGAGGTGGAGCTGGCATCATGGTATAGCAAGCCTGAGATGCCGACACGCTGTGTGAGCCTGAGTGTGTGTCACAGGTGCTGCCCCTCCATCCATCTCCTTCCTCACGGCTGGGGAAAGCAGCAGAAGACAGCCCAAGATCCTGGGCTCTGCCAAACATGTGGGAGACCTGGAAGAAGATCTTGGCTTCAGCCTGGCCCAAGCCTCACTGTTGCAACCGTCTGGGGAATCAGTGGATAGAAACCCTTGCTCTTTCTGTCTAGCTCTTAAAATAACAACTAGAAGGGCCTGGCATGATGGCTCAATTGGCCAATCTCTGCCTTGCAAGCAATAGGATGCCATATGAGCACCAGTTCAACTGCTCTACTTCCCATCCAGCTCCCTAATTGTGGCCTAGGAAAGCAATGGAGGATGGCCCAAGGCCTTGGGACCCCCGCACTGCATGGGAGACCCAGAAGGAGCTGCTGGCTCCTGACTCCTGGTTTCAGATCAGCTCAGCTTTGGCCATTGCAGCCACTTGGGGAGTGAACCAGAAGATGGAAGATCTTTTTCTCTGTCTCTCCTTCTCACAGCAATAATAAAACAGGCAACATTTAAAAATATTATCAAAACACTATTAAAGTGTTGAAATTAAACTACAGCAGTTAATATAAAATCATTAATAAAGTATTTTATGTTTTTCTTCAATCATAAAATTTGGAAATCCAGTGAGCATTTTGACCTGCTAGCACTCTTAATTTGGGCTGGTCACATTTCAAGTGTTTAGTCGCCACAGCACCTAGTGACAGCACAGTTGTAGACCTGATTTTTTTATTTTCCCAAATGAAGGAACTAAGGAACAAAGTACAATATGACATAATGAAGCAGAATCTTCTTGAACAAAGGGAGAACACCTTTTGAGCAAAGAACCAGATAGCAAATATTTTGGCTTGGCAGGCCACTTATGGTTTGCATCACATACTCTTCCTTCTTTTTCCTTTTTTCTTAACTACAAACACCTTAAAAAGACAGAAACCATTCTTAGTTTTACTAAAACAAGCCACGGTACATCTCTAACTGGTCTGCATTATGGAGCATTCTATGAAATTACTCAAAGTCAACGCAGTGGAGAGTCAAGGCCACAAAGAACCAGAACCATTCCAAGATGGCCAGCGTCCAGTCACTAGAGTTGAGAGTGTGGAGAACGGGGAGGAGCTGAGCAGAGGAGGGAGTGAGTTGGAGGCACATCTGTCTTTGGTTCAGGAGGCCATGGCAAGATCACTAATAAGCCACTGGAAGTTTTACACAGAGTTTTTTCCCTACTAAACACATAATTATTTATCTCACATGATCCAAGCTGTCATTTCACACCCCCTATAGGGACCCATGTTTGCCATAGGGATTGGGTCAGAATGTGTCCCCACCCTCTGCTGGGACTTCTCAGCTCAAGCCCTGGCTCTACTTTCAATCTCAGCTTGCTGGTAACGTACACTCTGCGAGACAGCTGATGTTGGCTCAAGGAGTTGGGTCTCTCCCACTCATGTGGGAGACTTGAATTGGGTCCCTAACTCTTAGCTCCATCCTGGCCCAGCCCCAGCTGTGGAGGACATTTGAGAAGTAAATTTGCTGATGGAACTATGTGTGTCTGTCTATCTTTCAAATAAGATAAAAATAAATAATAAATTTTAAAATCCCCTTAAAATCTATCCTAGGCAATCTCATTAAGTAAATCAATGTGCTTGAATCATAAAATGAAATTATATGCTATAATGTCTCATATACCTTGTTTGTATTTACAAGCCGTTTTTCCTGTGTGGTTTCATAATGAGTTTTCTGGTTACGTGTGAGATGTAATTGTGTTAGTGTATCTCTATAGGAAGCAGGTGGCACACTGTGGAAGAGGTATCGTTAGTAAAAACCTAAACATGTTATGCAGAAAGTGAGGAGTGAATAAGGCTTAGCCGTCTCCTTAGTCAATGAGATGAGGTAAAGGATGTAATTAAGGTACAGCTATGAGAAAGTGATTTCACGGTAATATGAAAAGCACTTCACATTAATTTGTCATGATGAATTGTTAAAGTAGAATTTTGTCTTTTTGGTCTATTAAAATAGAACCAAAAGGGGAAGGATAAAGTTAAGGTAAAATTGAGTCAATAGTAGCATTACTGTGTAAAATAGAAATTACATACAGAGCAGAAATGATAAGACATGGTAGGTGTCATTCAGTAAATAGATACGCAGATGCCTGGCACGTAGGACTGTCTACTGATAATGTCCCCGTTGATTTGAAGTTCATTGTGGCCATCTGACCTGCTTGACCAGTGAAGGGCAACTAACACATCATTTTACAATGAAGGTCTTTAGTTGCGAGTGCTCAGTTCACTCCTGCTCATTCTCTACACGCAATGATGAGGCATTAAGTAATGGACAAGAACCCCAGAAGGTCGTAAGAACCTGTAGCTGCTTTTGAATAAGTGAGAATAAATCTTTGTTGTATTATTCATCTAAAGTTGTGGAGCTGTTTCTTATGTCATCAAAACTAACCCATCCTTGCTGATGCAATATAGATCATGTGCCAAATGGTTATGTTGGTGTATACAATGAGAGACACAAGGAAACAGTTATAAAGGCCTCATCATAAACTTCCTGTAATTTGAGTAGGTGCAGACAGTGCCACAAGAGAGTGGAAAGTGCATGGAGGGGCGGGACACTGCCTAAGATAATCATAGAAAGAGGAAACA